TGGTCTTCGATCTGTCGGAAAAGGGATTCTTGGACCACTTTTTCTCCAATTGTAATACAGTCCCACCGATCAATTAAATGCGGGGAAGTGAAGCGACCGCAACGCACTCCGCCGGTGGACAGCAGATGAGAAAGGTAGGCACTGATAGATCCTTTACCGTTGGTTCCAGCAATGTGAATGGACTTCCACGAGAGCGGAGTCTGCTGAAGCAGACTCGCGACCCGACTCAATCCTAACTCAATCATTCCTCTGAGTGTAGCGTGATGAGAATTTCAAGGTCAATTGTCATTATCGACCCAATGATCGAGTAATGACAGGCGTCTTCGGTGCTTCAAAGCTCCATTGTCAGCAAGAAAAACAAAGCTAGGATGAGCGCGCTACGGCAGTCCACCATCAGAGGTGCGAGCTTACCGTGATCGGAGGAACAGGCCCCACGTGATGTTCTATATATTCATACCTCAGGCAGCAGGACTTTCGTTGATCACTACAACATATGATAGGTGTTTTATAGAATCTAGCTATGGACCAGTTAGTTAAATCACGGAGCTCAACGAAGAAATCCTCTATGTTTATTTCCCTTAAAGACCTTGCACAAACATGTTATTGGAAGATACACACGTGACCCAGCCACTCTAGCCACCTTCAGCCTCAGGCATTAATTTCTCTAAAATCCCAATCTATCTCCCCAGTGTCCATCAACCATCTCCACCGTTATCGCAAGTCGCATTCTACTCCGTACTAGTTCCGTAATTGCCCTTTTGGTTGTTTGTCCTTCTTTATTGAACTCTTTTTGTTTTTTTCTTCTTCTTTTCAGTTCAAAAGACAAAATGGGTATCCCGTAAGTCATTCCATCCTTATGTTGGCACGCGACATGCGCCACTACTTCGCCGCACGCTGTTGACTCCAATCTACAGTATGTGGCGTGAGCCTTCCAAGGCCGAAGCATCGAAGTCTGCTTCGGAAAAGGACTCATCTTCTACTGCACGCTCGTCAATTCGCCGAGGACCGTCACGGCACAGTAGCTCCCGCGTGCGTCGCGCCGATATTCTCGCTTCATTTCATTCGCAGATCATTGATGAGCTTCGACGCGGCACCGTGGAACCCAGACGCGTGCCGCGCTTTTCTTTCATACCACCAAATGGGGCTATTGAGAATGCGGTGGCTCTGGAACAGGCCGAACGTGATGCCCTCGTCTGGGCCCAGGCGCGCGCCGCGAGTGCACCCCGACAGACAGAGACCGCAAACCAGCGATTTAGGAGTCATCGCGATCAAGCCCTGACCGATCTCATCGGTCGCATAGACGGTCAGCCCAGAAATACCAATGCTAGCCCTTCCTTGACTCCCAACTTCGCTCCCGCTCTCGCATACCACACCAGCGCTTCTTCGACTCCTTCGGACAGCGGCGTTCGTCTTCCCCCTATGCGTGAGAGATATAACAGTGATCGCGCCTCGAACACCTCATTCCAGCCAGATATACCTGAATCCCGGTCTCACAACACACAAACCCGGCCAACCCGAGACCCCGTCGTAGACGGGCTTGGAGATCGCCAGCGCAGTCCTAGTCCAGACGCAGAGCGGGAAACCGATGCCTGGGAGACTTTGCTCTCAACCATTACACCCGATGCGACTCTACCATCGGCTAATACTTCTTTCACCTCAACTTCTGCCGCTGCTCCAGATATTTCGCGCAATGCTCGTCCTCGGAGCTCTGTTAACTTGACGCAGATGACTGCGGAAGCTGCCCGTGCTCACTTTGCACTTGATCCCTATCCTGACCAACTCAACCCATGTGACTTCTCTTCCTCCGATGACGAGGATGCTCCCTCTACTTTCCATGAATTCATGGGACGGGCAGGCCGTTATCCCGATCAGAATTCGACCATGAGCAACCACCCTCCCGTTCCTATCCCTACAATAATTCCTGCAAGCGTTCTTGCTCTCTCTGACGGTCGCCGCCAGAATCCCTCCCTCTCCGACCGTCACCACCAAAATGATGATCTCCACCATATGCAGGTCATCTTAGATCGGCTTGCCCGCCGTGAGGATATTCCCGACGACTGGTGGGCCGCGGCCGGTCTTGCACGCACCCTCGATCGTGGTCTCAGTGCGAGCATGGACTCCCCCAACACTGAGGGCGCTTCTCGGACCACCCGCGACAATTGAATACAGCTGCCCATGTGGTGATATACTGAATGACATATTTGATATTAGAGATATTGGCGATATTGGAAACGGTGTTTTTGGGGGCGTTTCTTTATAGCAAATTTTACATTGTTTTTTTTTTAGTTTGATTTTGGAACAGCGTTGACAGGGCCTTTTGAGGCAGTCGTGTGATCTTAACATTCTTGTCTCCATATTTTGTCAGGTTTACGTATTGTCGATTATCATTGGACAAACGGACACGAACGGCCTCTAGGTCTTTTCAGGCTTTTATTTCGTTAATTTTGACCTTTTGGACATTTTTGAATTTCCAGGTATTTTGATTCCATGATATAGAGGATGAAGAACATAAAAACACGTCAATTGTAGATATTTACTCTGTACCTGCCAAGTTCCGTGACGTATGTCTCGGAGTACAGCAGTCCCCACTTGAAGAGCCCCCCGCCAATATGTCGAAGAAGTTATGCTTAGTCCAACATCTCAAAGCAAATAACAACCATACAAAGTAGTTAGATCCTATGTGGAACATTGACTTATACGCCGATCTCCAACAATCAAGCGTATCACAACACGTCGCGCAATCCCACCAACCCAGGGCCCTTTCTTTTCAGATATTTCCATCATACACATTTGATCCCAGCGTGACCTCACTGGCCAACCATGGATCAGCAAGTAGACCGACTGGTCAACAAGACCTGGGGTAAGTAGCCCCCTCATCTACCAAAGAAGAACAAGCACAAGCTTGAAATACGCCCTCTGCCACACCCCCCACGCCCTCTCAAACCCCATCACCAATGCCCATAACCACGACCAAAACACTAATAAACCGCCTTTAGCAAAATTCTGCTCAACAGCAGACGATGCGCGTCTAATGATCGCAATCAGCGGGATCCCAGGCTCGGGCAAGACTGGCCTAGCAACGATGATGGCAGCTCGGATTAACAAAATCTACGCCTCGGAGAACCCAACAACACCAACACCGATAGCAATCTCCCTCCCAATGGACGGGTACCACCTGACGCGAGCACAGTTAGCCGCCATGCCGGACCCGGTGCACGCTGCGGCCCGAAGAGGCGCGGAGTTCACTTTCGACGGCGAGAAGTTCCTCGAGCTTGTGCGTTCTCTGCGAGAGCCGCTTACAGCTCGGACGGGCACTCTCTACGCGCCGAGCTTTGACCATGCTATTAAGGATCCTGTTGATGGTGATCTTCCCATTCCGGCAAGTTGTCGCGTGCTGTTCTTTGAAGGGAATTATCTTAGCTTGGATCGGGAGCCGTGGAAGACAGCTGCTGGGTTGATGGATGAGCTTTGGTTTGTCGATGTTGATTTCGAGGTTGCGAGGAAGAGGTTGGTGGTTAGGCATGTGAAGGCGGGGATTGCGAGGGATGAGGTTGAGGCGGATAAGAGGGCTAGAGAGAATGATTTGGTTAATGGGAGGGAGATTGTGGATCAAAGGTTGCCGGTGCAGGAGGTTGTTTCTAGTATTTTTGATCCTGTTTGGCAGAAGTTATGACGATTGGGCAATTTGGTGATATTGACGAAGGTCTATGATGTACAGAGTTAATACTATGTTGATATGAGTATCCCAACTTTGTTCTGTGTGAGAATAGTCTCCATACAATAAGGCTCTAATCGAGAGCTGCCCTTCCAACGGTGCATACGGTGCATACACACATACCTAGGTAGATATATAGCTACGACTTGATATAGAAGTTGATTGGTTCGATCCATACATGCATACATCTATATGCACCTATATACATGATTAGAGCAGCTATCAACTCTTTTACTATTATAGTAGATCAAGAAGACATTCAAAAAGATCAAGTAAAAAAAGACATCTCGAAAGACCAGCTAGAAAGACATACCATAAAGACATCACAAGGCCACAAACGCGGCCGACTATTCTTGTTTATTATCAGTTAATAGAGCAGGTATAGGTAAGTGACTTAAGTAGGTGAGCATGGTGAATAAGCCTATAGGTAAATCAGGTATAATATTAAATTCAGAATGAGACTTCGCAGAATACGCTTAATGTCTCTAGTTAGCTTCGGCATCTCCGTAATACGCAGCCAACATACTATGAATCATCTGGGCTGGAACCCAAGGATCTCAAAAAATTGGCCCAACTCTGCCTTGCAATTTTACATATTCAGACTCATCCCCCACCAATTGGGCGTGTCATGGTATTTCTCTGCAGCTTTCAATGCATTTGCAAAAGAGCCATCTTGCGAAGGTAGATTCAATATAGCACCCTCCGAGATCAAGAACGCGACGGTGTCCTTTCTTCCAAAGTAGGCAGGAGTAACTAGCGCACTTCTACAACCACCAATAAGTAAGGGCATGTTGACATCTGCCTTGGCCATTTTGACAATATACCTGACACATCGGATGTTGTCAGCAGCAAGAACGCTGCCGTACCGTCCAATCTAAAGGGCTATACTGAGAAATTCAGCGGATCTTTTGGCGAGATAAAGCATGATTTCCACACATTTGTTTTGGGAATACTCGTTGAGCTTTCTGGGGCTCCTAATTTCTTCTTCGCCTCCCTGAAACGCCCTGAAACCTGTGAATACTGCTGCTGCGGCGAGAGCACTCTCAAAATGCCCATCGCGTAGGTGCATCTCAACGACGTCTGCTCCAAGCCCCAGTAGCAAAAACTCTACAACATCAAGATGCCCCCGGTAGACAGCAATCTCAAGGGAACTGGGATCCTATGCACCTTCAAGGAACTTAGCCTTGTCTAACCCAGATTCTAGTATTGGAAATCTGAAAATCTTAATAGACCCCGCATATGAGGCCTCATACAAAACCTCCCTCAAAAGCCTGCTTTCCAGATGTCATTTGAGATCTGGTGTAACATCCAGTGTCAGGCATTTGAAAACCTCGGGACGGCCATACCACGCAGCCTCTTCTAGAGGCGTGGTCAGGAAATCCAAATCTGCATCGCTATTGCCAGTAGGTCGAAAAGTTCAAGGTGGTCTTCTCTAATAGCTTCCTTCAAGGCAGTTTTATAAACATTTGTCTTGGCAATCATAGGGACCTGCTCCTAGATCTTTACCAGTGTCTCACATATGGGATGCTAGCCCATTTCTAAGGCAACACTCAGCGGGAAATAACCATTTTCGGGGTGCACACTAGGATCGATATGCAGTTCTTGCCACCAATAATTAACGCATAGGAAAAGCCCCAAATCGCAGGCCCCAAAAATGAACATTTCCGTTGAGGTGAGGAGCCCGTCTGACCTCGCTAGCTAAAATATCGCTCACACCATTCCCAATGCCTTATACTGCTGGCACCTGGTCCACCAAAAAATGTGCTCAAAAGCTCATTCAGATGCGACAAAGTGCTGGGATCTCCTTGCTCTGAGGCTTTGACATGGTCGGGCCAGAATAAATCGACATACTTTCCAAAAGGATGGACGTCAATTTCGATCTGATCCGAACATTGTAGCGTATTTGGCATCTCGTCGCTCCCTGGGGTTTCTTTTTGTCGGTCCAATGGCTCGAGAAGAAAAGCCACACAGGTGGTGGCGGCGTATATGTGCGCGTCTATGATTTTCCAATGGAAGCTCTCCAAGTAATCCACTACCGATGCGTGGGAGGGACGCCACTTGTTGGTCTGGGAGTCAATGACCAGAAGATTTCGGCATAGAGATAATAAGGAGTCTTCGCTGATGCAGCTGGACAGATGTAATCCGTTTTGTTGTGGAATCATTCGAATGGCACACAATAATTCCTCACTGGACAATGGCGTGTAGGCGCACGTCACCCACATCATGGCGCGCCGGACCAGATGATAGTCTGACTCTTCCAGATCCTGAATCTCCTGAAAAATGTCATCATAAGTGCTTCTTAAGCCTTTGGGGAGTTTTTGCACATGATTCAAGCGACCGGAAACCGCCTCTTCGGTTTTACAATTTCTCAGTTGCTCGAGGTGTAGGTATACCCACTGAAACCTGTGAAATAGCCATATTAGTGATGGTCCCGAGTTGGACAAGGATGCAGTCTTACATTCCATCACAATGCTCTAAAAGTCTTGCGGTAATCTGGTTCTTCCAAGCTAGGAGGGCCTTATTGGATTGGGCCAGCTCCAATATTCTTGCATTGAGGTACAACTCAATATCGGCATGGTTGTCATTTGCTTGGATCTCGATGTTAGGTCGGGTCAAAAATTGATTGCGAATATCTTCATCTGGGCGGCTGACAACAAAGACTTTGACTGGGTTTTTAGCAGCACTCAAGAGACCATCAAGGAAGGTGATGAGTACACCGCGGGTTGCTGAGTCACATTCATCGAGTGCATCAAGCACCATAGTCGTTTTTGGGAAAAGATTGAGGGATTCTAGAAGAATCCGCTTGCAACTAGCCATATCCAGTTTGGCTCCTACCAACTGACGTGACTCACATGTCTCTCGAAGGCTTTTTTGGATATTATAGGGGTCGTTCGATGTGGTAGAAAGCTGTCGGACAAAACTACTCAGAACCGAAAGGGGGTCTCTGCGACGGCCGTCGTTTCGGCTGCAGTAATAAAAGGCAAACCCTTCGTGGTTCTTCCCTTGTGAAAGGGTATCCTTGACATGATCAATTACCTTTGAAGCCAAACAGGTCTTGCCAACACCGGCTGCCAAAGTCAGTCTTGTTGTAGACATTAAGAGAAAAAAAAGAAAGATGGGGGCAGCCAGAACCTACCCAAACCTCGAAGCCATAATACGGCGGATGAACTGCTATCTTCCCATTCGCGAAAGTCCTGATGACGTAGCAACCACTCTCCGGTATTGTCTGTCCGTCTTTCCTTTACTGATTCGTGGTATGTGGTGTAAGGCTCATTTGAAATCCACTCTAGAAGTGCCAGCGAGTCCCTCTTGTCCATTTTCTGAAAGCAAGCCTCAATGCGAAAATCGATGCGTGCTACTGGAGCCTGGATGGCATGCAGTTCCCTGAGCAACGTCCCATCAACATCTGCACTTCGTCGGATTTCGCACGACTGCACTGTCTCCCGGAGCTTAGCTTCTTGACTTGATACGCTGGAGAAGAGCCCATCACTCGGGCTCACGATTGACCGCATAAACTGCTTAAATGTTGACTGCGATAGTAAATCCTTTGTATGCAATAGAAGCTCCAGTAAAGTCTTGTAGACTGCGATCAGAGCATCATGCAATGCCTGCAGCATATCCTCTGGAAGCTGATCACGATGGTAGACTGACTCGTATACCTGGCAGTGGAAAATCACTTGGACAACCTTCTCTGTCGTTGCCAGGACGGCAAACATTTGCTCATTGGCATTGATTGGGATCTAATGACTAAATATCAGAAAGTTTTTAGATGTCCAGACTCTGCCGGAGGCCAAACCTGTAAAATAGCCTTGACTAAACCCCACGGAGGTGATGCCTGTGGCGGTGCAAATGGGATAACTATATCGCCGATCTTTTGTAGCCAAGTCGCGGCCTTGACAGCATAATCTCCTATGATGATCTCATGTCCAGCAAAGGTCACCTTCCATTTCTTTTGTTTGCACATGTCTTCTTTCTCTTGTACAACTCCGATCAGGTCTTTCACACGATGTTCGTTGGTAGTCTGAGTCTGCTCAGTAAATCCTAGCGCTGTCAACCTCTGTCTGGCGTCATCGGGCAGTTGTTGGGATGCTCTTTGCCAGAGATCCTTGGAGGAAGATGATGTGAGGGTAAGGAGTTCTGTCATTGGAAGTTCATGGCATAAATCCTCCGGCTGCAATGTTCTCTGTGAAGCCGGTGACACACCGCGGCGAGGCCCTGAAGAATTGACCCTGGTGGCAATTTCGCCATATTGAACATTTGTGCCCTTCGACAAGCGGTTCTTTTCGGAGTTTGGGGTCGCCGACAGGGATCTGGGGCTGTGCCAGTGCAATTTGGTGCTGAGCCGTTCCCATTTAGAACTACGGCTAGGGAGAGGCATGTGTGGCTTGACTCAATCCGATTTCTAAGGGCGCTCGTTATGTACACGAACGAAGCAGAAATGTTGATCGCGAATGACAGGTGCTAATAATGCTAAAAGATGCCTCTGCTTGAGGGGAAAGGAAAAGTTGGGTGGCTTAAGATATAGATGGGAAGGAGAATGAGTAGCTGCTCATACCAAAGTAGATTAATCGATTAGCGTGGGGAGCAAGGCTCATTATTCAATATCCCGGTGGAATAGACCTGGCATTTCATTGATAGGTATGCGTACCCGATGGGGCAGAGTGAGCCGACTTTGTCCAATACCAGAGCCGAACGTCTGATTTCAGATGCATGCGTGCTTACCTTTGTGGGGCCATGCCACGTTCATTAGCAAATGAAGTAGCGGGTGTGTTGGAAATGGAGAGTTGATTAGCTATTCTATTTGATCTCAAGAGTAGTGGGTATTGACCTTACATAAACCTGTTTATCAGAATTCGCCAACAGAATATGATAGCGCAACAAATTTGGACGGTCATTCCTCACCTTGATAATTTGACCATCTCCGCCGGTACTTCTTCCTGTTGAGTTCAAAGGACTAAATATACCACCGGTTCATAACTCTCCTATTGGATACTACCTCATCGCCTCTTTCATCACCGCCTTCTTGAAGCATATACTACTCCCTGGTTATATATATAAAAGTCTCGTACATAAATTATGCTTTTTCCCCCGCCTTCAAATACATAAAAAAAGACCAGCTAGAATTACCTACTAAAGAGATATTTTTAGGCCGCAAAGGCGACCGACTATTCTTATATATAACTGCAAATAAGGCTTTATATTCACGATTGAAGACGGTGATCTTCTAAGGTAGCCTTTCCGATATGCAGATCACAATAACTCTTAGGACAGAAGGCTTTAATGTTACTAATAACTAATTAGGTTCTGACCTCTGGCTGGGATACACCTTCGCATACTTAGTCGCCCGTAGTAGGTGACACTTCACTCCCCTCTTTATCTGTTCAGTCGTGGCTCCTGTATATATATCCTACGCATGCTCCTAAATATAGATAAAATGAAGAGTCATGAACTTAATGATACCCTATAAATTACTCCACAAGCCCGAGGTGAGTTGGAAATGTCTAGAAAGTGAAAAGGAACAACTCCTAGCACAAACGTTTTCTTCAGTCATCTAGCCTTGTGAATTAATAGATAACCTCTAATTAATGTTTAGGTAATCAGTGAGTGATCAGAGCCCTACCAGTTGATTTGAGTCACTAAGCACTAACTAGGCACTCATTGGACTTCACTGATTTCTCATGCGAGGGAACTAAGCAGCTTAGTGAGCCTGAGCCCGGTCTTAGAGTAACCTATATTCCGTATACATACTGTAGACAGGATATCTGCGGTGGAGTTGACTGTATTAAGGTCTACTCCGCCTGCTCGACCACACGTGGGTCTATTAGAAGTGGGCCTTGGATAGATTATTTGTGTTGATTCTCTAGTTCTTGTGTTTAAGAATCGAAGATTGGTCCAAAGGCAAGCACCCCTCTTGCCTTGAGCTCAAAGACCACTCGTTTCGTGAGCCCCGGGTTACTGATCACACACACAGCTTCCGTGTCAATTTCTCGGACGAGCTCTTGGAAAATTGGCACTATGTCCACTTGGCCGCTGCTGCCGGTGTCAACGACAGGTGGGTTGAGGCAGAGCTGATTCACAAGGCTCAGGATGTCTGGGCCGTACGTCCTGTTCCGATTCCACGTCTGCCAGATGAGCTGCAACTGCGGGCGATTCTTCTCGCCCAAAAACGAGAGACATGGCCTGATTCTTGATCCCATGGCAACCACTACCACTCGGCAAAAAACTCGCATTATGTGAATAAAGCCGTACATGAGCACCCCGCACCTCCAAAGGTGGGTTGGTTTCTGCTCGATACACCGGGTTGTCCAATCGCCTGCCTATGGATACTACGCAAGAAAAGCTCCTACCATCGGGATTGGGGAAAGTTGCAAAGCTGTGCTAATCGTTGAGCGGATGATTGGAGAGTTCTAGCACTTTAACGAATGCAGTAGATGTGTGACCTGGAGTCGGATATCATGCGATGAGATGCTCTGGTAAAACTTGCACCCGGCGGAGAAGAGCCACGGATGGACGATGGGCACAATGATGACCAGGACAAATCAAAACGCTGGAAGCCTGAGCAGGTATTGCCCGAGAGATAAGCCTTGCGAATGTCGAGCTTGATCTGAGAAGACCAGCAGTAGGGTTCTACTGCTAACCAACCGCCGAATGGATGTATGAGTTCGAGATAGTTATGTATTTTTACCTAGAACGTAGGGTACGCAACCGCAATAAGGGTAATGACATCAACGAGTAAAGCATAGGATAGAATAATCACCGGGACGGTAATCGCCCCTGAGTCTTCATTCAACCAATACTCCTTTGATACCAGAGCCACGAGGCCGCCCGTATACTATAGGAAAGCTGCCACACCGCATCCGCTATGAACTTCACCATACTGATATGATTCAGCGGCTCGCTTGCGCAGCCCGAAAGGAGCTGACTGCGATATGCAGCATGTGCTCCGGAAGATGGCATTTACTACTAGCGGGTGTCGAGCAAGACCGCATACGTTGATGCCTGCTGCATTAATGAATGCAAGAAGTTTATGTTGGCTTCTTATCATAACAACAATGAATGCGATTGAATTGGCGCAATAGACTAATGAAAGAAGACGGCGATAGATTGTGAGAATGAGATATCGTATTGAGGAAAAGCTCATTCGTGGCCTACGTTGAGCTTCAACATCGGCTTTGGCGAAAAGCCTGTTCCAGTCCTAGATGCTATACACGCTTAGGTGTGCATTGACTGATATCGCAAAACTCGGCTTGTTTGCATGCGCGGGAGGTGGTATTTGGAGCGGGGGTGCCACTATGTGGGAGTGTCGTGGGAGTATCGTGTAGCAAATATAGAAACGGCTTGGATGTGTTTGAACTAGCGAATGGAAAGATTCACAGGATGTAACAGTGCAACGAGCTCAATCAAATCTTATTCTATGTAGTATTGTGGAATGTATGTCGGGGAGGCTCGGGGATCGCAACCAACCCACCAAAGAGCGTCTCTGGCCCATGGTGGTTCATGAATGTATTTCGTATGATCGAAAGATAACCACTGTGTCCGGAGTGGACCTTCGTGGGTCTCCTAACCGCTTCCGTCTAGCACCGCAGTACCAAAAGTACAAGTGGCGCTTCTGTGGTAGCATCGTTTCACGTACCTACCCTGCTACGACATCCCGGGCGAGAACTACACTGATACACATGCATCTAGTTGCTTCTTTACTAGTAATTCCTATACTGATAATTCTTACTAATTAATTACTATCATACAGCTTATAGCTTTAACTATGGAGTATGTTTAATACATTGTATGAATTCGAAAGAACACCATATTTATGACCTGTGGCGTGCATGCATTAGCGTAGTTCTCGCCCGGGCTTTTGTAGCAGGGCATGTCGCTGATGTACACAGTAATATTACATGAATGAGTTATTATACCTCATACAACTCCAGAGGGCCGTTGGAGCCTTAATTTGAAGACTGCAGACTGGGCATCCTGGGATCCAGCGAACTGCCCGTCAGCCTCGCCCATAGGAAGACATTTTCACCCTTGCCCAGATCTAAGTTTCTGGCCCCTGAAATGTCCTGAAAGTGTGTCCGCCACTTCCATGCACCTAGGCGCCTAGCATGGAAGTAGCGTGAGTCGACCTGTGTCCCACCTCCCAACGGCCCGCGTGAATTTGCAACCGATAATATTGCTTATATATACTATACCTACCTGTATATACATACAGGCCTTCGCAACTGGGTGCGCATGACTCGTCTATAGGAAGTTGTGGGTAACAACTGAGGGGTGCGTTGCAGACTCCCCAATCTTCCCAATGACAGGGCTTCACCCTCGAAGCCTCTCCGATGACCCAGTAGAGCCTAGGTACCTGCAGCTAAGAACTTGGGGGGGGGTAACATTTGCACTAAGAGCGGAAGCTGACGGCTCAGGGGCCGCTTTGCACGTGTTAGCACTGGGATCCCATACCCACCATTCCTCAACCACCAGCCACGATACGCCCAGTTAATTTACACTGGCTGTGACCCTTGTAAGTCTGAGAGCGCACAGTGATGGAACAAAGCCTCGCTCTAGCGCCTGAGAGTTGTGTACGACCGTGAAGTGAATCCCCTGATTCCCCATAGGAGTATCCCAGCCGTCTTTTCCTGTACCCAGCGTTGAGCCTAATCCCACCATCCGTCCCTGCCAGTCCTTTATTGAATCGGTCTATTTGACCCGTTTCTCAAATCCGGTAAAAAGGTGATCGGTACTTTCTAATAGTCTTTTCGGGTCTTCAAGGTAATCGAATATGACTTTCACCCGCCCCCGGGGAACCGACGGTCCTATCTTCGACTCTTTAGCCAAATTTTATGTAGCGGTGGCTATCACTTGGACGACTGCTCTGCTTGCTGGCTCCATATTTCTGATCTTCAATCGCCACGAGCAATGTATTCGCATTCGCAACTTGCGTCTCGTATTGAGCACAGTGGCATGTCTCCATGTCTACTGGATTTTGTGTATGGTCTCATATTCGATGGGTGGCAAAAATGTTTGCGTCGCAGAATACTGGATCATGAGCATCTATTTCCCCGTGGGAATCGCTCTTTTCCAGGCAAACAGCATGCAGCTCCTGAACGTCTTTGGTGTTCAGGAGAAGCTGCTTTTGACAGCGCAGCAACCGCACAGACCCCACTTTATCGATCCTGCAGAATCGTCTAGTCAGTACTTGACTCGATGGAGACAGCTCAACATCGTACAACGAACCGGATTGGGCATTGTTGTTGGGATTTTTGTTCAAGTCAGTGCATTCTACACCCCTGCTCCCTGGCGTTCCCCACTCATCTCGTCTCCCATCTATAGCTATTGCTATCACTTTCTATCTTCCTCGCCTCCCGCAAATTTCATACCTTTGGCACCTTCTCCGAACATGTGAGCGCCGAGGAATGCCGGCGAGGCCCTGAATGGTAAGTACTTTGGCTTAGAATGTAATATGGTCGACTTTATTCTGATATGAAACCTTCAAGGATTCCTTCAATTCTCTGGCAATTGCTCTGGTCTTGGGTATTCGCGCCATACATTCTGTGGAAGATTCGTAAAATTCATGATATCCATCACTGGGGGCTTCAGATCACTTGCTGTCTTATCGCCGGGTGAGCATTTCAACAGTTGCCTTGGCATCACCATCCTATGGGATCACCCAATACACATTGCTGACAGATCCATAGTTTACCAGGTTCGCCTATGTGGCTCGCCGCGCTATATTCGACAACCAATGTCTGGGCAGCTATCAATAGATACTGGGTGCCATCCCTTTGGTAATAAAAGCCCATAATCAAATCCATAAAAACTTGAATAATAACACTCGCAGGTTTGCTCCCGGTATCATGACAATGGAAGCTGTTACTATCTTCTTTCCATGTTATGAGCTTATCGTATCCAAAAGACAAAGGGATCGTTTTCTGGAGAAACTCCAAGCATGGAATGAAAAGAAAGCAACCAGCGGGGAAAAATTGAACTCGCTATCATCACGAACTCCAAGCGAAGCCAGCCGCGTGCCTGAAGTTTATTCCCGAGGAGCTCTAGAGAAGTGCTTGGAAGAAGACTCCGGTGCACTGCTCCAATTTGCCGCGGCCAAGGAATTCAGCGGCGAGAACGTCATCTTCCTGAATTACGTGCGCGACTGGAAAGCTGCATGGGCGAACATCGGTGAATCGGAACCGGAATACGACTGGAACTGCGATCCTGAGTATCATCGACTTCATTTCTTCAAGATCGCAGTTGAGATTTACGCAGCCTACATCGACATGAACTTGGCAGAATATCCTATCAATATTGAATCTCAAATTTACTCAGACCTACGGGAATTATTTGGTGAAGCTTCCCACATTATCGGCCAATCTGTGTTAAGCATAGCTGGAACACGCGCCAACGGGAATCTTCCAGAATCTTACAACGGGATGCCAACGTACAGAAAGAAGTTGTCCACTGTGGTAACCGTGGAGGAAGACACTCATGCTCTGTGCTCAGATGCGCATTTTCACGAGGGCCAGAGTATCATGCATGTTGAGTCCCGTGTGCCAAATTCTGTTATCATTCCTGCGAATTTCACAGCCGATGCTTTTGAGCAGGCTGAGAAGTCTATCAAGAATCTGGTATTCACAAATACCTGGCCTAAGTTTATTGATTTTTCGAGCGACGTATCTATTTATTCTAAGCAATCATGCAAAATATCTGAATAGGTTTCATGTGTTTGAGTTGACGAATGAGACCTTGGAATTTTCTCAAAGTATAATAGTTGTTCACGCTGGACTTGTTATTTTGGTATTTTGGCATTATGATATGTGTTCATCATGACCACGACAGTCTTAAGGGAAAAAGACACCCAAAAAAATACATCTAGAATGACATTTGAAAGTGTTATTAGTATATTGTCTCTAATATCATACCTACGTAGATCAAATAGATCAGAGAGCGGCACCTGCCGTAGGTGTCGGACCCAACTTGTGTCTTACATCCATCAGCCATCCACTTCGAGTAAATTCCGATCACATCCTATAATGCTACTACTATATGACTCACGCCCTTCCATTTTATCCGACCTCCCGGTTGGACATGTTTTACATATCTTTTCTAGCCTTAATAAAGTACAGAAAGAGGCAGCGGAGATCTTCAAATTACTGAATGAGAACGAGAACTGTGATGGAAATCAATGGATCGTTGTTCTCGGCCTCTCGCAAAGAGCCATCGAAATTCTCGACGGCGAGCGTCGTGATATTCTTGGGGGCACTTCATTCCGATTCCAATTGGAAGGAAGCACTGGACTTGTCAAGATAGTCCCATCAAGCACCCACCCTATGATCATAAATGAGTGCTTGACATTGATCGATGAAAAGCTCGATTCAATGGGAATTCCATGGGCTGGTTGGGGTTGGACTGAAAGGGCCACATACATGCTCGAGGGTAATGATACTAAAGGCAAGCAGCCCGATCAAGCCTTCATACCACCATCTCGCCGCGTTGCCCGGATGGGACTCTCAGAGCGGTGGCCGACCCTAGTGATTGAGACTGGTGTATCGAAGTCACTTCCTCGCCTACGCCTCAATGCGAGGGATTGGTTTGCTAGTTCAAACGGAGAGGTCCGTATTGTTCTATTGGTTGGTATCACAAATTCCGAAATCCTCTTTGAGAAATGGCAACTAGCTCCTATCTCCGAACCACGTCCTCTGACACAGGAATCGATCGATACGCTACGCCAACAAGACCCCAAGATGCCCCCTCTCATTGGGCAGCCAGCATCCGGTCAACAAGCCTACTGTGCACAGGAAGTGTATTTGAAGCTGAATGAGGTGGTTGGCAATCCCTTGGTCCTCCCGTTTCATGCAGTATGTGACCGAGCCCCTCGAGAAGGAGAAAGCAATATCGTAATTGAAAGGAGTGATTTTGAACAGATCACAAAGTGGATATTTGAATAATTGCTCCTGTTAATGACGTTCCGTACCCATTGCTGTAGTAGTGGGTTTATGTCATGTTGATCGCTGCTTAGATGTTGTCTAATTGCTTAATTCACGTAAAGGTCTACTCAGTTTCAGTCAAGTTAAACCCATTCAATTAAATAATTGGCTAACCGGGATTGGTTCTGATCCGGGTAAGTGACGAATGAAGGGCTAGTGTTCGTGTTGAATGAAAATTTTCAGATCGAAGACGACGCATGTACTTTGTCCGTGTTCCGGTAGACTACCTGGTGATAGCCTATCGCCTATGCTTACACGTTGAATACCCTGTAGGCTATGGAATGAACTGTTCCATGTGAAGTTTTGTGGCAGTATGTTGAACTAGCTGTATCCGAATGGTCTCTTTTATAAAACCTGAAGGAATGCCGCAAAGCCTTCATTGTCATAACCATACTCGTTCTCTTTCCGAACATTCCGCACAAAATAATTCAAATTGCAACATGTAGGGACCAATAAAGCAGTTGGTATTGGTGTCATTCCAGTATTAGACAGAACCCGACACATTGATCAATGATAATTTCTCCATATCCCGGCATTCGATATACTCGAGCTCAGTTACACTCGCTTTTCTCTCAACGTCCCTATCTTGAGAAGAGAGAAACATTTCTTTCGACTCAGTATTTGAGCAATGGCCATCTGTAAAAAATACATTTTCAGGCGTGTCCATCCCGTATTCACCCCATTCCTGCTCTCCAGTCTCAAGGTCCTCGCAACAGATAGCGAATTTAACTAAACAATCCAAATGAACACGGATCAATCCACGGTAGTACTCTCCATAGTCATTTTCCGGGTCTTCGGGGTGGAAGTGAGAATCGATAAAGTTAACATAACCGACCATCCCCCCCGGTTTATCGTTAATCTTTGGCCATGGTGACCCATATTCGATAACAGATGGCTTTCTAGGCGCCGCGCTAGCCAAGATTGATAGTATACAGCGATCATCTAACAAAACTGCGTAACCAAGGCGAGGAACACCACTACACACGTAGAAGCCATGGTTTTCGACCCATTGTTTATGTCGACGTTGGATAACGGCTTCCGACGCCCCCTCTAACGCGGGGTCCTCAAAGATAACATTCCGATAACCCTCGCGGATCATTTCAACACATGTGGCGCCAAGTTGATGGTAGCTGCGCTCGTAAAACTCCAGGCCAGCCATACAGGCCTCGTCGAGCTTTTCAATCGCTCTAGCCCAGTCTTGATCGGATGTGTTGCGGTAGGAGGTGCGATAGATGGCCCATCCCCATGGCCAACCCCCACTCTTACTAGACTCGTAGTCTAAGAAGTGCGGTACAGACTTCCACTCGGGCTTCGCATGCTGTCGATTGATTCGTCCGAAAAGGGTTTCTTCGGGTGGGAATTCAGATGAACGCCATGGTGTAGACCATGACTCATCATGAAAGATACTGGGTGGACGAGGGTTCCAGGGCATGGTTCCTGGAATAAGGTTGTAAGTGTATGCATGAGTTGTCCAGGAACTTCCACAGGCGTCAATCTTCTCTTATGACTCACTTAGCGCCTGGGCGTTGAATGTAACCCCCGAGGTAAAGTCAGGCCACTACCCCCCACCAACTGGGCATCTTGTCAACGAAAGAGAACACTTACCAACCTCTCCTAGTCTCTAGTAAGCCTCTCTGATCAGAATGCTTATCCCATTCGACGGTTTGTGGCATTGTTTACGCCCATGAAGAACGCGCTTGAGTCATTGATGCCATTAACAAAGCGTATAAGTGGACGTAGAGATACTCCTTCACACACATTAACGCTATTTCTTATACGTCTCTCGGATTCTCCTGCGAGATGGAGGCAAGGATCGGAAAACACGGATGGAAAACACAACACCTCAACTTCCGATATCTCCTGGCGATTGCCTCCCAGACTTTACGTGTCTTGAATGCATAGTGCCAATACCTGTTTCTGTGAGCCTAGGGCGGAGATTTTAGGGACAAGCCCGAGATGGCCGGACCTCTTTGCAATTCGTCCCAACAGTACGGAGTACAGGAATGAATAATGTACGTGTGAGGGACTTACTACGGTTGGCAAGTGGAGAAACAGACCATCGATAGGCCTCCGTCCGGCGGGCATCGTTTCTACCCTGACGGTGAGGTATGGGTAACAATTAAGCGCCATCCACTTCCGGGATAGATTATTTGAGAAACTGCAAACTTGTCACAGCTACCACAATTCTATGGACAATAGAATATATCTGCGTTAGTGGAAATGTTAGTCTCTAACCGAAGGAGGATTGTCCTACTACATTAGTACATTTTATTGTTCTTCAAGGTTGCCATTTGTTAATTTGCTGTGGTACATCTAGATGTTACTGAAGTTATTAATAGAGCTCGAATCCTCTAATCCCTATCTGGGTCAGCCACTAAGACACATGAAATTAATGAAGGAAAATATAAAAATTTCTGTCTGACGTAGATTCTTACAAAATACTACCTTTAAGATGAATAGTCTCAAATTTAACCTCTCGAGTAGCACAACTGTGATGTATGTTGTATTTACTCCCACCTCAGGCGAACTGACAGGCTTCGCCCCTGTATCCGGGGGATAGGTCCCTGACGCTAAACCACTTTGGGAACCGAAGTGCCACAAGCCATGGGGAACCAAAGATACATGTATCATGATAACAGGTATTGTAAAGTATATTCAATATGTAGTGCCCAGTCACAGGGGTACATCTCTGTAAGGCCCTGAGTGTAATGTAACAGACCCTGACCCCCATCGTGGCTTCCAGATTGATGAAACTGCGGTTGCCCGATTTCTCTCCCCCCCGTTTTCTTCTGGTCGAGACCTTATCTTCCTTACAACTTCGTCACTATTTGTCTTTCACTTTCCCACACTCTCTCTACAGTCGCTCTTTAGCCCACACACACTCTTTTACTCTAGACTCGCTGTGCGATCTTGAATCCAATCTTTCAATCATTTTCAATTTCCCGCCGATCTCCAATCTTTCATCATGCTCTTCAACAAGTCCATCTTTGCCGTCGCCATTGTGGCTTTGGCTAACGTCGTGACTGCCACTACCGTGCAGACCCCGGCCTGTGTTCTCAAGATCATCGGGTATGTTTCGAAGGAATGGAAGGAATGCCCAGTGGAGTCCCGAGCTGATGACAATCTAGCAACCAAGCCAACCCGGCCGATTCGAAGACTATCTGTGGCTCCAGCGCCAGCAAGATCCAGTCTGACATCTCCAAGAACTGTGCCGATAGCGATGCCTCCCTGAAGTTCTTCGCTAGCAACTGCGCCCAGCTCGGCCACAAAGTTGGTAAGGATTATAGATGCCCGAGAGCATGTTACATCATTGAATCGGCTAACTTATTATCTTCTTTTTAGTCACTGATGTTTCCACCACTACCGCTACCTCTACCGGCACTTCTGAGAGCTCTACTGCCACCGGCTTCGTCACCGCTGTGTCCTCTGGCTCTGCCACCCACACCGGTACATCTGCCGTCGCCACTGGCACTGGCACCAGCGCTGCCGCCGGTACCTCGGGAGTCAGCACTAGCACCGCCTCCGGGACTGGTAGCGCCGCATCCCCGACCTTCAACGCCGCTTCGTCCGACCGCCAGTTCTCTGCCACCACCTTTGTTGCTGCGGTGTTCCTCGGCGCTGCTGCTTTGCTGTAACAAACCGGTATTTACTGAGAGCAGCCAAACGCGAATATCGAAATATCGATGCGAGCACATATTACTAGCCTTGATGTTGCTGCTTTCGATCTGATTTGAATCACCGTGGTTCAGGGATCTGGTTCGAATTCTCTAATTTGTTGCTCTTCTGATGCCAATTTCTGAATCCCTTGAACTTTTATCTTCTTATTTGCCAAACTCGCATTGATTTATGTGCTCTTCGCCTTCCCACGGGGCAATTCTTGAAAACACCGAGGTCTACCTCAATTGCCAATCAGTCGGTTGATGTAAACAGATTCAAATGAACTCCATCAATAGCCAAGAGATGCCAGAACGCCCCCCTTGTAGAAGAGGACAAACTATGCATACAAGGTACTCCAAAGGTTACCTGAACCTCTTGAGCCCTTGATCAAGACTATGTAGATCCATCACATTGATATGTAACGCAGCAAGGGGTCACAAAGTTGCGATCGAGCCTCTTGGTGTTGCATATGATGTTGACTAGGAGAGGATGGGGTGAACCTCAAGCTGTCAGAATCAATTTCAATCTAGCAGATCTAGCATTGGCATTTAAAGATCATCTGAGCCCGGAATGCTTGAGGCCGCTCGGCGGAAGGCCATCCGATGCCATGCACCCACGCGCGACCATTCGCGTGTTCACGTGACCATTCGCGACCTGCAATTTGACTGCAAGGCTCACTCTCACCGCCTGTTCTAGATCCACACCGCCCTCTGTATCCCCGCTAGTAAACCCACGCTAAGATCATTAGTATCACTGCGCTAACTGTATTTGGTATAAATCGATGTTTTCTGCCTGGCAGGATGGAGGTTTGGAAGGAAAGGTAGGTGGATCCATGTTGGTAAGCTGAAAAAACGCGGGCACGCGAAAAGACAACGCGTCCACTCGGCAACCAAAGATTCCTCTGCCCCTCTGATCTCTTCTTCTTCTCACACCCCTCTACGGGCTTCATACATTCATCTTTCCCCCCTTTCTCCATACTCTAATATCATCTCAATTCTCTTGCTATTGTGATCTTGATACCCTTAATCACTACCTTCTATTTTTTCCAGCCCCCTACCAAACTCATCACTATTCAAAATGTTCGTCTACAAGAGAGGTAAGTGCATACAAGATTGTCTGATACATAGAGGCATTGGTGGCGAGAGATAGCTTCTGCTCCTTCATCTCGCCACAGCTGCCTGGTCCCGCCACAATCTTGAGATCGAGAGCTAACGAGAATACAAACTGCAGATGGACGCAAGGAACGCGTGCAGTTCGACAAGATTACCGCACGTGTCTCGAGGCTCTGTTATGGCCTCGACCCCGAGCACGTTGATGCTGCAGCCATCACCCAAAAGGTCATCTCTGGTGTCTACCAGGGTGTTGGCACAGTTGAGCTGGATAACTTGGTATGTTGGCTTGCTTAGCCCCAGCTTGTGGCATTGTGTTAACATTTCAATCTCAGGCTGCCGAGACTGCTGCATACATGACCGTTACACACCCCGACTATGCCATTCTAGCTGCACGTATCGCCGTTTCCAACCTCCACAAGCAAACAAAAAAGCAATTCTCCATGGTCATCTCCGATCTCTACCATTATGTGAACCCCAAGAACAATAAGCCTGCTCCTATGATCTCAAAGGAACACTACGAGATTGTTATGAAGCACGCCGAGGAGCTCAATTCTGCCATTGTGTACGACCGTGACTTCAACTACAACTTCTTCGGATTCAAGACCCTCGAGCGTTCATACCTTCTTCGGATTAACGGCAATGTTGCTGAGCGTCCTCAGCACTTGCTCATGCGTGTTGCCGTCGGAATTCACGGCGAGGACATTGAGAAGGCCATTGAGACATACCACTTGATGTCCCAGAAGTACTTCACTCACGCCTCCCCCACTTTGTTCAATGCCGCTACTCCCCAGCCCCAGCTTGCATCTTGCTTCCTGGTTGACGTGAGCGCAGACAGCATTGAGGGTATCTATGACACTCTCAAGACCTGTGCCATGATCTCCAAGACCGCTGGCGGTATCGGTCTGAACGTCCACCGCATTCGCGCTACCGGTTCGTACATTGGTGGAACCAACGGCTCCTCCAACGGTATTGTTCCTATGCTGCGTGTGTTTAACAACACCGCCCGCTATGTTGACCAGGGTGGTAACAAGCGCCCTGGCGCTTTTGCCATCTACCTGGAGCCGTGGCACGCCGATGTCTTCGAGTTCCTTGATCTGCGGAAGAACCACGGTAAGGAGGAGGTTCGTGCCCGTGACCTCTTCTACGCTTTGTGGACTCCCGATCTCTTCATGAAGCGCGTTGAGGCCAACGGTGACTGGACACTCTTCTGTCCCAACGAGGCCCCCGGCCTGGCTGATGTCTACGGTGATGAGTTCGACGCTCTCTACGCGAAGTACGAGCAGGAGGGCCGTGGCCGCAAGACTATCAAGGCTCAGAAGCTCTGGTACGCCATTCTCGAGGCTCAGACTGAGACTGGTAACCCCTTCATGCTCTACAAGGATGCTTGCAACAAGAAGAGTAACCAGAAGAACCTGGGTACTATTCGCAGCTCCAACCTGTGCACTGAGATTGTCGAGTACAGTGCCCCTGATGAGGTGGCTGTCTGCAACCTGGCTTCCCTCGCCCTCCCCACTTATGTTGACTCTGCCCGAGGCGAGTATGACTTTGGCAAGCTCCACGAGGTCGTGCAGGTTCTCGTTCACAACCTGAACAAGATCATTGATATCAACTACTACCCCGTTCCTGAAGCGAAGAAGAGCAACTTCCGTCACCGCCCCATTGCTCTCGGTGTCAACGGTCTTGCTGATGCTTTCCTGGCTCTGCGTCTGCCATTCGACTCCCCCGAGGCTAGACAGCTCAACATCCAGATCTTCGAGACCATTTACCACGGTGCCTTGACTGCTTCCTGCGAGATTGCCAAGAAGCTTGGTACATATGAGACCTACGCCGGCTCTCCCGTCTCGCAGGGCATCCTGCAGTACGACATGTGGGACCGCACCCCCACCGATCTCTGGGACTGGGCCTCCCTGAAGGCCAAGATTGCCGAGTCTGGTGTCCGCAACAGTCTGCTGGTCGCCCCCATGCCTACTGCCAGTACCAGTCAAATTCTGGGCTTCAACGAGTGCTTCGAACCCTACACCTCGAACATCTACTCCCGCCGTGTCCTGGCTGGTGAGTTCCAGGTCGTTAACCCTTGGCTCCTGAAGGACCTGGTCGACCTCGGTCTGTGGTCCGACAATATGAAGAACCGCATCATCGCCGATGGCGGCTCCGTCCAGAACATCCCCAACATCCCCGCCGACATCAAGGCCCTGTACAAGACCGTCTGGGAGATCTCACAGCGCAACATCCTGCAGATGGCCGCTGACCGCGGTGCCTACATCGATCAGTCGCAGTCCCTCAACATCCACTTGAAGGAGCCTACCATGGGCAAGCTCACCAGCATGCACTTCGCCGGCTGGAAGATGGGTCTCAAGACCGGCATGTACTACCTGCGTACCATGGCCGCCTCCGCCCCCATTCAATTCACTGTCGATCAGGAGCAGCTCCTCGTTGAGGACACCAACATCGCTCGCTCTAAGAAGCGTACCGGTGGCACCAGTGCTTCCGCTTACTCTGCCATTCCCCGTACCAATGGCGCTGAGGCCGCTGCCGCCAAGGTCGTTGCCCCTGTCGAGGAGACCCCACGCACTGTGGCTGCACCTGTTGTTGTTGCTGCTCCTGCTGTCGAGGCTAAGGGCATTGACGCTGCCGCTGAAGCTGAGCCTGAAGATGCCGAGAGCAGGGCAGCTGAGGGTGATATCTTCTCTGATGCGGTTCTGCAGTGCAGCATCGAGAACAAGGATGCCTGCATCATGTGCCAGGGCTAAAATTTCTTTGCCTTTAATGCTTTTGGATGTTTCGCTTTGAGTTTTGTGCATGGTCATGTCTTCTGCCGTGGCTTCTTACGTGTACCCATATTATGATTTTGATGGACTTTTTTCTTTTTTTCCTTTGTCTGTGTTTCGGCGTGGGTTTGATATTTGCAGGATTTTCTTATTATTACTTCAATAACGTGTTATCTTATTCATTCTTCTCTCATAGACTTTGTAGACTGAGTGTAGATATTCCCTTGTACAAGACTAGCCTCCTACGCCAATTGAAGTCTCCCGAAACTCGTCCCAGTCGCCTCCGGTACCAAACAGACTCGATATATTTACAAACAAGGCTATATAGGACATCTACTATTCTTTCTTCGACTCATTATAGTAACCATATAATGGCATCTTCATCACGCTTCCGCATGAAACATTGAGGCAATCCATCTTCGTATAGGTCATAACGCAGCGCATATCACCAGTGCTTCCTTTCATCGATATGGCTGATAAGGTAACTCGGCAAAAGAGGCTTTCAGGCTCGATCCATGCACCTCCCTGGGTGATGATACCCCGGCATGCTGGTTCTGCATGACCGTCCAAGGGGGCATTGTTTCTGGAGGAGAGATTGTTTTGTGAATCTTGTCATCGGATTTTCGGGTCTTGAGATAGAGAAGGGCACCCAAAGCGCACAGTATCGGGAGTCCAACGCCGGCGCCGATTCCGATTGCGATTTTCCCGGTCATAGTTAACTCTGATGTTTGAGAGGCCGAGTCTGAAGAAGGCGATGATGCGGAGGAGGGTGTCGTGGCCGTGTCTTGTGTCTTCGTCGATGTTGATGAAGACACAGCTCTGGCAGTAGAGGAGTGTGTACATAATGGATGTAAACCCTAAAGTACTTTTTACCACCACTTAGAGGTTCCTCTTTCTGTCAACTTCAATTTATTTGCTTAGGAATGTAAATAGCCCCCTTCACCATTGTGATCTCTCCAGGAATCACATCCAGCACATCTACATCACCCCATGTTGCATGAACGGTCCGTTCTCCCTTCAGAATACGGTTGATATTGAGCATTGTGCTATACATCACCCCCCAACTGAAAAACTTTTCTTCCTCGCCGGTCTCATCATGGATATCGGAAAATTTTGCTCTTGGCCCTGGCTGATGGAATCCGCCCGTGATAGATGGGTAAGGTGCAAAACACTTCAAATGGCCATTACCACACATGCGTCCAACAGAAACGTCAAACTGGGCACCAATATCGATTTCTTCTGCGAGGCCAGACGGGTTGACCGATAGGGCCGCGAGGATCCGCTGCGCACCCCTGTAGCTCACAGCATAAAACATTGAGCAGACTGCGTCATTTGCTGTGCACGCAAGTCGGCTGTGGTTGTGTCTCTCGTAACCCTCGAATATTGGAGGGTCGCGCCACTGAGGGAGAAAGTGATGGGGCATTGGAATAGTCGGGTCATTCGGGGTAAGGTAAAATGGCAAATCAGTTTTACATGACATGCCGCAGTGGCCCAACCATAGAATGTCCCAGTCATCACCGTATGGTGACTGAGTCGGAGCTTTCTGGGTATCCTGGAGCTGGAGGGCTCTGACTGCGTGGGCGAAGCTCTGAAGCTGGACTTTGATCGATACATCCCAGTCCGAATCGTCTTCCATAATAATAGCACTCGCTAATCTTTCTTGGACAATCCTAGGCAGACATTTAGTTGAAGTCAATCATTGCAGTTTCAACCACATACCGCTGAAGTCCGTTGACATGCGCCCGTCGGGCAGCGTACTCAGTCTGTTTATGGCCATGATCCCAGTTCTAGAAAAGTCAGTCGTCGCGTGTATTGTATAACTGTAGAAAACATACATATGGATAGGATTTAGCATCTACTTCATCTGTAGTCACGCCGTCGATCCATTCGACGTGGAAATTGCTGAGGGATGAGCCTAGAACGATATTGTCCCGCTTGTCAGGCCGGCTGATAAGGTTAATAGCAAAGACTTTTTGCACCTAAATAGTCATGAGTTGAAAGATCTCCAGGATAAGCTTGAAGTGGAATCAATACCCCAAGGGTTTCATTTCTGATGGCATCGAAGTTGTCCCAATCATGCTGGTCACTCCAGACCTGCTGGGTGGAGGCGGTTATGCTCGGTCTCAGCTTGAAGAAGAGGAATACGACACCAAACAAGACCAAAAGAAGCTGCACAAAGCGTTGTTGGAATGCAGAAAACACCATGCTCAGCTGTCACCGGGATAGAGATGGCAGAACGCGTTGGCTATCCTGAGCGCGCAGAAGGCGACCCTGCTTTCTTAATTTCTTCAGAGGCGCCGAAGGCCGATGTGCGGGCTAGTTACCGACAGGGGAGGGAGACCCTAGTCCCTATATCATCGGTCTTGCTGAAGGATGGTTGGTCGATATATTCGTCAGATCCCCACTGTGACGAACTTGACTAGCGACATGAACCCGCTGGGATTTGAGAGCGCATGAGTGGCCTCAAGTCATGTGCGTGACGCTGGCGTGCATAGGGCTGCTGGGACCCTGGTTCAAGCGCTAGCAACAGAGGACATGAGTTGCCAATAATCGGTTGGCTATTCCTTAGAGGGCAGTGATTTACTGATTTCACCTGATGGACGTACATGCGCCTGGGCCTCTTCGCGGGCCGTGCCGCTGGTCCCGCGCTGCTTGGAGACTTGCAGTGTCGCGCTTCCTCATAATTCCCTAGCAAGCATCTCTTATTGAAATTTATTCTACCCCACGATGTCGAACGCGTCGGATTGTACAGAAGAACGTATGAAACTACCCAGTGCTCTATACAATCAGAAAAAAAAACCAGAGATTACTCATCGAGCGCAAGCTCGACGTGCCAGTTGCGCGCACGCAGCCACAGTCGCAATGCCGTCAGCAATCGATTACTACAGAACTAAGCGCCTGGTTTTTACTCCGGAGAAGATATTTAATGGACTGAGTACTCAGCGTCACGCGGATTAAAGAAATAGAAACGCAAACCTATCTATGCGACCATACACAAGAGATTGGGGGAAACTGGTGTTATCACTCGCTTCCTATCACATTCCCTGTGCCCTCGATAAGAAGCGATATAATTACTAACTTATTGGTCTTTTTCAGCTGTTTTTCGATCCACTTCAGCCGTACACCACGACTAGTAGGGATTGTTTGATGTATATCTATAACTTTGATTTTCGTACACTGAGCGATCAGCAAGGCTCTAACATAGTGATCTCGCAAAGGGGCCACCGTGGTTGCGTTCGGCGAAAATGGCGGTATATCACCTCCACCGTGAAACCAATACCCCTCACGAATATAGAATCGCAGTTTCCGAAGCTGGGTAGATTCTACTTAATGATTTTTTATGGATTGTACAATACAGTTGCATAATAATGGGCAATTTTATGTTCAGGGGAGAAGAAGCGGGCCCCATAATTTTCCAGGTACAAGCAGTGTATTTGCTAGCCAAAAAACTGGACTGATCCCCTCATGACAAGTTAGGTTGTACACGTAATGTCGACAAAGACAAGGGCTTTATCATGCGAAGGTCTTGTAGATAAATGTTTATGTCTATCAAATTCCAGTGCTCTGGATTGGGGCCTGGAGCATAGTCTTTCTACTCCAACGTGGTCCCGGATACTCGCCATTTTTCTAACTTGTATGCACACACATTGCACCTCACGCTTTGTACTCCGTAGGGACTCTAGATTGTGATGATATTGTAGCCTTGCCTATTACCGTCTGATCCGAGAGATGCTAATAAATTGCTGAGACAGTCTCAAAATCCCTCATCCTCTTGGCTGAACGATCTTGTAACGTTTGGTGGAGCATAATAATCTGGGGCTCTAAGGGGCCAAGCGTTCAATAAGCACTTTCTTTTGATTGGAACTTCCTTCTTTTTCCTTCTTCTTTTCTCCTCAATTCACTTCATATCCCGGTGGACTAGACCTATTGTGGGGTCAGGTGACCCTAAAAACAGGTTCAGATAGTTAGTTTGCCGTTTTTTATTATTTTTTTCACAGATATCTCAATTCATGCAGTTTTCTCTGCCTTTTGCTCCCTATCTTTAGCTCTCAGAGAATCCAATTGGATCCGTAAGTATATGTTCCGTTGAGACACCTCACCAGCAATGACGGCAACACTACCCCTGGAACTGTTATTCCAGATTGCAACTCTTCTGCAAAATGATGGAAATTCTCTAGTTCCATGCACTTGTGTTTGTCGCTCATGGCAGGCGGCTTTTGAACCCCTCATCTACTCCAACCTAGCTGTCTATAGTGACGATAAACACAAAGAAGAGGGGCAACGTGGAATTTCTCTCCGAAATTTCCAAAAGCTCATATCCGGCGATCATGCTATACGGAAAACCTACATCCGAAAGCTTGAATACAATATCCTCGTCCCCTACGAAATCTTAGACTGGATCGCACGCAAACACCGGGAGAGTCCTGAAAATTATAGCACAGATAACCCTATCCGAAAGGACAACGATCTATCTTTTCAGACAGCTATGGTTAGCCTTTTCCAAGAGCTTCAATCATGGGATCAAAATTCCCGTCTGAGATTAAACCTGGCTATTCGAGGTCGTCGGCAAGGTCTTGCACCGGAACCACATACTCAGCATTCAGAAATCGCCGGTGACTATCGTTGGGATTATCGAGATGGGCATATATTATCGATTCCCCCATACAGAGCGCGGTTCCTCAAGGATATGTCGGATCTACCATATCTTCCGTGCATTGAGAAGCTCTCTTTTCTAAACCGTAATCAAATCTGGACTGGCGCAATGCGGACTATAATTCAACGTTGTACCCAAATCGTTGAATTGGAGCTAGATCTTGAGGAATTCGTCCGTCCAGACCACCTGGAGTATATACAGGCACGTCGCGAAGGTGAGCTATATCCTTTTTGCTGTGAACTTCCATTAACCCTAGGAATTTTACTAATAGCTATATAGCGTTGTCTTCTTAAGTCGATTCTATTCCGAAGAGCCTAAGAGTGCTACTCTATCAAGGACATGATGATGCCCCGTGGAAACCGGCCATGTCCCCACTCAATGTCATCCCTTCTGGTGTTGATAGTGTGAGCTCCAATTTACGAGATCTCAGTATTCACCTTCAGCAACTGAAGTTGGTGAACACCACTATCGCATATGACTTTTTGTGTCCTTTGGATGAAAAAGGTCAGCCTAAACCGGGTTCTTTGCAGTTGAACTGGCCCTACCTAGAGGTATTAGAACTTGAGGGTATACCACCTTGGCTTCCTTCAGGTAAGAAATCGGTCCCTCCTGGAACAAGAAAGCACCAAAAGAAAAAGTTGAAGTATACCCAAGACGTCTAATAACAAACAAATCAAACAGGAGAACCAACTTATCATAACACACCGGAAGACCAAGGCGAAATTAACGAGATTGAAAATTGGGAAGACGTGATATGCGATGTCGAAGCGGGATGGGGCTGGCCGGAATTACCGACTGAAGAACATTTCCATCGACTTCTCATATCGCTCGGCTATGCGGCCCAGCGCATGCCCCGTTTAAAGAACATGAAAATTGAGGTGGAGAGCCATCGCCAGTTTACCTCCTGTCTCCAGAACAAGGCCGACCAGATTATCTTGAAATGGGAGTGTTTTTACCCATATCGGCCAGATATTCGGATGGCAAAGGCGTGGGATTTTGACTTGGATGATGTGAAAGGTCACCCTCAATACGAGGATAAAAGTTCTGTGATACTTCGGACCTGGCCGCCCAACACCCCTAACGCATTAAACCCCGAGAGACCTTGGAACGAAACTTAAAAAGCATTGGCGAGTCGCCACTGGAAGACAAGGAAAGTACTACAACAAACGTCTGAAACCAATGATCCAATAGCATGGAAAGCTACACTAGTTAGTCAAATAAACGAGTTGGTCATCATAGTACAACCAATAGGCCCCGAAAGAGGCAATGGATAACGGCCGAGAAGCCATTGCGAAACACAAGGAACAAAAGCAAGGACCTTTGTGAGAGCGTTTTCAATTTGGGGTTGCAAGGAGACAATCCTACTAATTTCCCCGACGCAACTTCGTTTGTTAGCTATTTCCATATAATTATCGTGTGCGTAGGGATCACGGGCACGCTCAGCGGCATCACGTAATTCGCCGGAGGGACTTCGGGACTACCTAGTGACGCAGTACAACCCCAGTGGCAACCCCCACCGTCCTTGAACTTCTTCTGCAAATTCTTGCAATGTGCATGTATGTATGCTATGCAACCATGGTCATTCAATCCTAATCCGGGGAGATCTTCGGTCAAGTGGAGCAGAGGGGACTGGATAAAGTGGAATACAGTACGGAGTATGGATTGCCAACCAAATTCCCGAGCTCGTACCATGTATCTGGTGCGATTGCTACGACAGGGTCTAACTCCCCTCTCGGGAAGAGAATGGTTGGGTCTGAAATACAAAGATACTGGGGGGCCGTGTAGTCAGAGCTCTAGGTGCATTTCAATTGTGCGAACATAGTCAGCACCCTGATGGGGTTCTCGGTATTGATTATGTAGGTCCTGTTGGAGATTTCAAGGTTGTTCAGGATGTGTGCGCTGTGCGCTGTGCCCTGCATTTTGTGTTCGGGCTGGTTAGGGCTGGGAAGAGGGGTTGAGTACGGAGCACTGGATACGGATTGAAGTGAGACAGGTGAGATCTTGCAAACTGAAGAGCCTAGATTCCAAGGACGCTTAAATGGTTCGGAGCACTCCGGATATTCGCACAATAGAAATCTATTAGATCGGCACTATTCTCTCACTAAAAATCTAAAAATCTAAAAAGACTAAAAATTAAAAAACTAAAAAAACGGCTTGAAAACTTAGACCAAGTCCAGACCGTTGGTAGTGGAGAGGATTGAATTGCTACAATAATAGCACTCCGTACTCCGTACGGAGTACACAGGTAAAACATGTCATCCCAGTTGGATTGGCTTAAAGGTCATCTTTGTCTTACACATTATCCAATCACATCGGTATTCACACCCTCGGGGTCCGATACAATACACGTCAGACTGCGAAAAGGCAGACTGCATTTATTCTGACCAGTCTTCCCCTGGGGTGCATACCTTGTACGAGACACACGTGATTTGCAAGGAGACTAAAGACATCTGCAGCAAGATATGATGAAATCTCAATACATAAATATGAAAAAGAGCGGATATGGTATCCCTCGTGAAAGAACCTTGAAAAGAAAGAAAAACCTTGCTGCCTCTGATAGGTCAACTGGTCAGGTACGAGAGGCAAAATATGTGGGTCGTGAAACACCACAGGTAGGCAGTAGGATCGTTGGATCGGCTGAAGCAGCCGTCGGTCTATCCCCAGAGGAGATTAGGGCCAGGAGAAAAGTGGCCTGTGTGGCGCACAAGCCCCTGGGCGCTTTTTTTGTTCCAATGAGAATCTACCGGGACATCCGGCTCGGGTACCTGGAAGATGCGATTGTGATATTTCCCGTGTATATGTTTTATGTACTCGGTAGGATATCACATATGATGGGAGTAGGATAGAGTGTAAGGAATGAAAGGAGATGAGTTGTCCAATGGATCGTGGCTTGATTTGGACCATGGGTTTGGTGAATAAGTGGGGACTGGTCACCATCGAAGTGGGCCATTTTCCTCTTTGGTGCCTTACCTTTGGTATTTTATAAAGTCGAGACTCTTCCCCCCCATTCTCTTTCTTCTCAGTCCATTCCTTCCTTCTTGCTCACTCACATTCCTTTCGAGTGCCTATTCCTGCTGTGCAGTTGATCAATCCTTTAACCAACATCACACACACACTCTCTCAATTCATCTATTCTGATTCTTTCGCAATGGCTCCTATCACCAAGACTCTTGCCCTTGCTGGCGCTTTCTTCGCATTGACTGGCTACTCGGCTCCCGTTGCCAAGCGCGCCGTCGTTTGGGAGACCGTCACTGATATCGTCTGGACCACCGTCGATGTCACCACCACCATCTACCCTCAGGCCACTCACGCCGCTACTGTCGTCCCTGTGGTCGCCAACGCTGTCCCTACCACTACCGCTGCCCCTGTTGTTGTCTCTACTACCAAGGAGGCGGAGAAGGCTGCGCCTGCCACCACCTCCTCTTCCACCACCACTACCGCTGCCGCCGTCCCCACCGTCGAGGCACCTGTCAAGGAGAAGGCTGCGCCCACCACCACCTCCTCCACCACCACTGCTGCTCCCGCTGTGCCAACCACCACCTCCACCACCACAACTGCTGCCCCCGCTGCTCCTACCGTGGAGGCCGAGACCTCTTCCGCTCCCGTTGTAGAGGCTCAGACCTCTTCCACCGCTGCCCCTACTACCACCAGTGCTGCTACCAGTGCTGCTACCAGCGAGTCTACCAACACCGAGACCACCAGCAGCAGCAACACCGGCGTCTGCTCCGAGAGCTCCCCTTGCGACGGTGACATCACCTTCTACGACACTGCCACCACCGCCACCAACCCCAGCTCCTGCGGCACCACCAACGATGGTACTGTCGAGAACGTTCTCGCCCTGCCCCATGGTATCATGACCGACAGTGACTGCGGCAAGACCGTCACCGTCACATACAATGGCCAGACCGCCACCGGTATCGTGGTCGACAAGTGCATGGGTTGCGACAACGAATCCGTCGATCTGTCCCGTCACTTCTTCGCCGAACTGGCCTCCATGGACGCTGGCCGTGTCAGTGGTGCCAAGTGGTACATCCACTAGACGCTGCGTCGATCGCGCGTTAGTGTTGATGGCCATCATTATGAATACGAACAACGGACACATCTCTGGTAGATTGCGCGAGCGGATATGGTCTTGACGACTCTTCCCTCTTTTTCCCCTTCTTTCCACTTCGTTGTGATCATTTCTTCTTCTTTCCTACTCTCTCTGAGAACCCAATCATTCGTCTCTCAGAGAGACCGGGCCCTTTTTTACCATCCGTCCACTCTCTTGACCCAGGATCTTTTTACCATTTCGCGTGTCCCTAGCGGATCGCATTCACATTTTACCCATTTTTTCACGTTCATAGAATTTTCTTCTCTTCGGAGTCTTCTTGCGCAATACTACCTATGATGGACCTCATCCGGCCATAAAACATATGCTTACGATCCCCGCGCGCATGCTGGCAAGTCATGGACGGTTTGATTCTCTTGACGAGATCTCGAACATGCAAATGCGACAGGGCAATTATGATTACGATGATCATGCTCGTGAAACGCAAAAAACCCCCAAAAAAACACAGGCCATATTGCAAGAGACGGATCATTGAATGAAATTCGTTTCGTTTGACTTGTATTTGTTTGCTCAAGTAGTCTCTCGAGTATTCGTAGTAGTATTTCGGTATTATTTTCGAGAATTGTTTGTTAGTACGAGTACGCAGGAGTGTTGCCTGCCCACTTTTGAGACTGTCGGCCCAAAACGGGAAATGAATTACGACAACGCAAGGCTAGTGACTATATTGGTCCATGCTGAGACAACTGCGCCTCACTTCTAGTGGGCCTCTCTTTCCAGGCTGTGTGTTTAGAGTTCTATTGCGTTATTGTGTTAAATTTGGATCTGCTGAGAACAAAGCGCTCCGGCGATCTCTATGTCTTGCCTGTCTATAATCTAGCCCCATACCCAATCATATCGATCAACAACCAGATAACCCAACTCAATCGAATACCACACCATTCCTCAGCGTTCCAATACCATCAATAAAAATATCCATCTGCGTTCCAAGAACAAGATATTTAGGCGGCGAAAGACCGGCGCCGACACCTAAGAAAACAAGTTAGCTCAGCCAATTCCAAGGCATACAAACAAAACAAATAAAGACAAAAACTCACCACCAGGCGTCCCCGTCATAATAACACTCCCCTTCTGCAACGTCGTACCCTGCGAAAGATATGACACCAAATATGCGCAATCAAACAAAAGATCCGCAACATACTCCTCCTGCCTAACCTCCCCATCAACAATCGTCTTCAGCAACAGCTTACTAGGATCAGCAATCTCGCTCGCGGCAACAAGACACGGTCCCAGCGGCGCAAACGTATCAAACCCCTTAGAGAATCCCCATTGTGGGACACGCCCCGCAAGTGCCGGGTCGCGCTGCAGCTTGCGCGCGGAGATATCGTTTCCGACTGTGTAGGCAGCTACATAGGAGAGTGCATTCTCTGGGGAGATGTTCTTAGCGTCACGACCGATTACAAGACACTGTGGGCGTTTGTTAGTATACCGATAGTCTTTACCCAGGAATGGGTATTCGTAAACAGGGAACTTGTCTCACCAGCTCGCCTTCGTAATCTGCCTGTGAGTCCTGGGCGATCTGTGGGATTGCTACTGGTGCGCCGTGGTCGTGGATTGTGGTGTTTGGCTTGAAGAAAATGAATGGGAAGGGGGGTGGCGTGCGGCCGGCTTCTTTGACTGTTGACACGATAGATATGTGTATAAGTAACTGGTCTTCGGGTGTTCTCGTTTGATGATAGGATAGGAAAACCTACCATGCTTTGCATAGTTCAATCCAACACAACGCAGAATAGGTACATCTGCCTGCGCCAATGGGCCTAGTACGGTCTTCACGGAGACGATTTCGTCGGTAACGCGTGTTTTGCCTGTGGTGTCATAGAGGTCGTCGCCTTCTATTACACGTGCTTGTAGCTTGTCAGACTCGGTTATAAAACCTAGGTCTGTTGTTGGGGTTGGGAGGATGGGCTCGCCGCGTAGGATGCGGCCGTCTGTCGCGATGAAGCGAATTAGGCGTTTCCATGGGAGAGACATGTTTTCTGGCTCTTTTGTTATCGGTATTGGGTTTGTCTCTATTGGAATTGGCTTATAGAGGGGCACTCATTCCGGGCGTTGAGGGGTTATATGACTCTTTGCTTGTCGTTATGGCGGGGATAGGTCGGGTATACCGGGTTTCTCGGTTGTAGTTCCGGGATGGTGGTTTAGTAGATAACCAAATGAGAAAAAGAGCATGCGGGGAAACTGGGGTATGACTGGTATGACGAAATATTCGGACTTTGATCCTTGAGTCGGTTGATGTGCGACTAGTTTTCTTCCGGAAATGACTAGACTGATATTGATCAACAGAAGCAAAGGGGAAATCATTATATATCTGATACCGATTTACACAAAAATGAAGAGAGATTGGAACGAGGTATACATCGAATATGAGGTTCCGAAGAAATTATGATAGGTATGCATTCATCTAAGAGCGAAGTAGTATATTTTGTATGAAAACTTCATTTTCTACAATTCCGATTTCTTCCAGGCTCGATCAATCTCTTTCTCGGCATCATATCCATAGCACCACATCTGAGTCGCCGGGTCACTCCACTGATTAGGGCTATGACTGAAAGGCAAACCCAAAGTCTCAGGCTTCATAGCTACATCACGGGCTTCCTGAGTCGGCCCATCGGCGAAATGCCACAGCTTTCCATTCAGAAGACTGGCCTCCTGCATCATTCCAGCTCGCTCGATGCGGACCTGCTCGAAAATACTCAATGCTTTGGGGATGTCTGCGGTGTTCTCAATTTTAGACAGTGAGCGTGCTAGTGCTGCGCCGTCTTCGACAGCCATTGCCGCGCCTGTGCGATTTTAGTGAATTTTAGTCACTTTGTTATCAATGTTAAGTGTGCTTTTGCACGTACCCTGTGACATGTAAGGCAGCATTGCATGTGCTGCATCTCCTAGGAGTAACACCTTGCCATTCATCCAGCGAGATAAAGGGACTCCACTGATCAATGGCCATTTGATGGTTTTCTCGATAAGTCCGATAATCTTCTCAAGCCTAGAAATACATTAATAGAGATATAATATAAGCCCAATTCATTGGTACATACCGACTGTCCCATCCTTGGAACTCGCGTCTCATATCCCCAAGAGTATTTTGCTGATCCCAGGTTGAGGGGTCACTGTCATCTGGATGCGAAAGAACCATGTTGAAAGACTTGCCGGCTCCGATGGTGTATGTCATTACGTGCCGCTGATCACCGACCCTAGCAAAAGGCTTAGTTGAGTTTCAAAGATCCTTTCATACTTGTACTGACCATATATTGAGAGCTGGCTTTTCCAACAGCCAAGAAAGTTCCGGGTCTTCCTTGATGCGCTCCACGTCCACAGTAGCTCGGTAAGCTGCGAACCCGGTCTTCTCGAATGAGGGCTTGCCGCTCTGGTCAAAAATCCCTCGAGCAACCGACTTAACACCTATCAACGATTAGAGTCGGTCATATCTATCTGAATAGCTTTGGGATATATACCATCTGCAGCAACGATCAAATCAGCCGAAGCATTTTCACCATTCTCGAGAACAATGCTCGGTTCCTCGACGTTATATCCCACAACTCGCGAAGCAACCTTAACCGTGACACCCAGATCTAGCGCGCGTTGATGTAGCGCAGAATGGAAATTTGCGCGGTGGATCACATAGTACGGCGCGCCGAACCGTTCTTGGAAGCTCGGGATGAGTCGCGTGAGCCCAATAACATCCCCTGATTGCCAGCGTCGGAAGGAAATGAACTCTGGCTCGGTCACATACTCTTTCAGATATGGGTCCAGACCGAGTCTGCTTAGGAGGCGGGTTGAGTTGGATGGGATTTGGATACCAGCACCGACCTGATATAGGTGATTAGTTTCGGTTGACATCAATGGAGGAGGATTAGTACTTCTCCGAGCTTCTGTGCTTGCTCGTAGACAGTCACGGCGTGGCCGGAACTTGCGAGCGCGATGGCTGTTGCTAGTCCGCCGAGTCCAGCGCCGACAACGATGATGTTTAGGCGGACCTTTGAAGGAAGGGTCTTTTCACACGATAATGGATCGTTTAAGAATTCGAGGCAATTGCTGGGATATCTTGGGATCTACGGATTCATTAATATATAGGAATCTCACATTGCCATTCCGGAATGCAACTCACCTTCAACGACGCCTGAGAAACATGGCCATTGACCTGACCGTTGGACACCATCTTGCCTACTGTCACTTTCTTTGTTTCAAGAGAAACAATCGGAGCTCATCAACAGCGCATATCGTCGGACCACCGCCTTTAATGACCCCTCAGCTGGGAACGCACCGGGGAAGACTATCCGGTGTTTCCCCGGACTGTAGCAAGAGCCGACGATTCTACGAAAGTCAAGATATATTTCAGGGATCATTTCTCCATATAATGTAGATAATACGATCCAAGGATCTTTCTCATTACCAGAACAATCCCAACAATGTCTTCTACCCAAGTGGAAAGTGTCATCGACACAGAGGAGCAGCTTCTCGCTGACCTTGAAGCAAGCAAGACCCTCCCTCTGTGGAAGCAGATGGCACGTCTGAACCCACCCGCGCCAAACCCAACAACAGTCCCAAATGTCTGGAAGTACAGCGCCATCAGACCTAACTTGGAGCGCGCTGGAAAGCTCGTCCCAGCAGACCAGGCTGAGCGCCGGGTGCTGATGCTCACCAATCCAGCTCGGGGTATGTACAAAGCTATCCTTTGACTGCGCATCGCGTTTTACCTTTCTATTTACTATATAATGGGAAAACCCTTTTCTGAACTCTTATCAAAGATGCCCCCTTCACCACCGACACCCTCTATGCTGGTCTGCAGCTAGTGATGCCCAACGAGACCGCACGTGCTCACCGACACACGGCCTTTGCCATGCGTTTCATTATTGAAGGCCAGGGCGGTTTTACTGCTGTCCACGGCCGGCGCATTACGATGCAGCGCGGAGATGTCATTCTCACCCCGACCTGGAACTACCATGACCACGGCAAAGATGGTTCTGGACCTATGGTGTGGCTGGATGGGCTGGATTTGCCTAACTTCAGGCACTTCCCTGTGCACTTCGTAGAGCACTTCGATAAGCCCCGTTATCCTGCGGAGAACGTTGATAGTACCACTTCGCCGTTGGTTTTCCCGTGGTTTACCATGAAGGCGCAGTTGGATGGGGTTACTGGGGAGTGGGTTGCTAAGAGATATTTGAAGGAGGATGGGCGTGAAGGTATGTTTTCTGTTGTTCTATTTTTTGACTCCGTAGATGAAAGGATGGCTAATGTTTTCCATAGTGAGTCGCGTCCTTGGAGGATGTGCTGAGCGAATTTCGGCATCTAAGGCTTCGCCTTCCCGGCGCGAGACTACGTCTGCTGTGTATCATGTTATCACTGGCAAAGGCTACTCGACTATTGGTGATAAGGAATATACCTGGGAGCAGGGTGATACCTTCTGCGTTCCGGCATGGTACAAATACCAGCACTTTGCGGATGCTAAAGAACCGGTCTATCTGTATCGGTTTGATGATAAGCCCATGATTGATGCTTTGGGCTTCTATCGGTCAGAGGATATGGATGTTGAGTCCCTTGTGGACGAATGAGGCCTTTAGTGTAATATGACTGAATAAGGATAAGAAGCTTATGGAACTTAAGATGGAGAATATTAGTAGACTACGCCAAAACCCGCAAACCCGCAAACCTGAAAAAACCCAACCCGTAATAGGTTATAGACTATATTAGGTAACCTATATAGGTTAGGTACTAAATAGTATAAATATAGGAAGAGTCTAAATTATATAAATTATCTAGTTTTTACTTATATTTTATTATATTTACTTTTTATATATTGACTATTTGCCTTTTTAACCTTACGGCTTCATTGAGTGCTCCCATCCAGACCTTAATCTCGGCCCACTACCAAGCATCATATCACATAAGCACTAAATGGCTAGGTAGTGTGGGTGAGTTTTCTTTTCTGGCAGATCAAGCGGTCTGAAACCTGCTCCTCTGAAAATTTGAATATTTTCTTACACTGTAACTGTACTGACCATGGTGACCCCGATTGAGATGAATAGTCTAATGTCTCTAGATGATGATAGCCCCCATGGCCAAGAACCTCGCACGCAATCCAGACCTAGCGGTCAAATAGAGTTGACCTCTCCGTCAAGGAGGTCTCAGCATGAAGAGCTCCAGGGGCCCAGAACACAAACAAAGCTCGACAATGAAGAGCAGATAAAGGAGAAAGAGACCCTGCCTCTCAATTCTTCCGCGCCAACCACAGACCTAGACCAACAAATTCCAAATTCCAAGCTTGATCTCAATGAAGAGGCTAAAGACTCCAAGAGCCCACAAAGAGATAGAATTTAGGAAGTCTAAGTATATAAACTATCATATATACTATTAAGTAGAATACTAGGATAATTTAACTAAGTAGCGAATACTAAAGATAGGAAGCTAGGTACAATATATAAGCAATATTATCTAGTCCGACCTAGACCTATTACTAGGTCTAAGGATTAGACCCAAAACCTTACCCAGACTAGGTTATGCGGAAGACTATATAAGACTAATTTCTATCAATATTGCAAATTCCATGAACCCATTAGGCCTTCTTCCAAACTCCATTGCTCTTCACATAAGCACCATTGGCGATACAGTCGGGGCATGGATCCCTTTTGGTTTGCCGAGGTGCTCTGTTTTCTGGATGATGCCGCACCTAATAATCGTATAATTCATAAGCCACACTTATCAACAAAAATTCTAACCACAACAAATTACCAATGCGGTAAGTATTTTGACCATGAGACAGTTTGATACGCACTCTCCGGCATGATCCTCAGTCCAATCAAGTCTTCCGTTAAGATAAATCCTCGACCCACACAATAAAAGGCACAGACAAAAGAAACTGGCATCAAAGCACGAAGGGGGATTTCCAAGTTAGGATCCAGCTCAGGATCAATATTCCTAAGCCTTGCAGCGAGACGGCTGATCCATCTGTTTTTAGACCCTCTTTTCCGCTTCATTGTAGCTTGTGCCCTTGCTTTTGTTAACTCCGGCCGAAACATTTTTCTATGAAAGTATAGTGAAAGAGGGCCTCCAACCAACGCAAAGGCCAATGTATTCACACTAGTGATACGCCAAAGTAACTTCTCTGTCGCGGACGGAAAGGTGGAATTCCAGGCAATAAGAAACACAGAGCTGAAGAGAAGGATTGTTGGGGCACAAATTATCTCCGCCCGGGTATCCACGTTTGGCATGAAATGACTTGGAATGCGATCATATGGTCGTCGCTCCGGCAGAGTAAATAGTGGTATATGTATATAGTGTAGGATTTGAATGTAGTATTTCCAAAATCGAGCACAAAACCACTCATCCCGCGAGAGGAAGTCGAGTGGTGTTTCATACCACTTCGATCCGAAATTTTGACCAAGATTATCCCGAATAATAGCCAGGGATTTCTTGGGTTTTAATATGATTGGTTTGTTGATATCCATAGGTTTGTGATACCAGCAGTAGGATGTCACGAGAAAGACCAGAATAAAGGAGAGGGTAGTGAGCTCGAGGGTGGTAAGAAAGAGTCCCTGGGCAAAACGAAAGATGCAGTTTAAAGAGAACCATAGGGCTTGCGCTATTGTCATTAACCTACATAGGTAAGCATGGTGAATAAATAGAAAGGAAATTTCAATCAAGGTAGACCGTGACTTACCTAGCTAGTCCATCTGCTTTACTCTTATCTTTAATTTCCTCTTCTTCCAATATGGGATATTCAACGTATCCCTCCTTGACTAGGATATAGAGCTGCTTGGCGTCCAAAGGAAATGAAGGCAAAAGATCTATTTCCGGGGGCTGTATCCAAAAGCCCCCCATATCGGCAAAGAACGCATGCTTAATAGTCCAATCTTTATATCCAGCCTCATAGAAATTCTGCTCCATCAGCTTCGACATCACACCGACGTATGACTAAGTTATAACCCACCTTAACAGAGCAGCGCGCAGATGACCATTGGCCCAGAGCTAGCATCAATAGGAATTCGGATCCGAGTATTGCAATACAAGCAAGATCAAATTTGTATCTCCATTTTCTGAATGCGCCATCGGATTGGGCAGGCAGATTTGGAGACACGGATGTCCAACAACAGAGAATGATTGTGAGAACGCAAGTGGATAAAATTCCCCACGTCCCTCTCCCGTCGGGCTCAGGGACCCAGCCACGCGAGGTTGTGATAGTGTCGTTCATGATTGATATACACCTGAATAAGATGTTAGATCAAGTTTTAGAGGAAGCTTAATATAGCTAATCGAGTCTACCTAGCGGTAGCGCACTTTCAGGCTAGTGGCTGATGGAAGGCGCCCGAAAAAGCATCATTTTGGCACTACGGTTTGATTACGCGCCCCTAAGACTCACTGATATGCAGGAGCCTAGGAAATGGGCAGCTGATCGGCGTGATTTCAGTACAGTAATTGTTAAATCTGCCTTGCGACCGCTACATCGCCCATGATGCACGGGCACTGCCTCAACCACCCATGGCGCCTGTCAAGGCTCTACGCGGGTCAGCAAGGTCTCCCTTTAAATAACAACTCGGGAAAGACAGAACTTAGCAACAGAGCTATTTCAGCTCCTAACTGCCCACTCAATTCTCGGGTGGCTATGTGCAGGTGCCATGAGACCAAGAGTTTCCAGGCGCTAGCCCTCCCCAATCAATGATAAGTGATAAGTCTAGTTCCAATTAGAAGGGTTGGGCAGCGATCTGCCTAATCTGCCCCTAGTCTCTTATTTGGCCACACTAGGGATAGCGGGATGCTCTACCGATGTAACAGTGGCTTATTAGCTTGCTGTGGGAGCGGGTCTCTACAGTGGCTTTCATTGGGCGACAATATGATAGCGCTGCGGACGCTATATGCGACTAAAAGCAGAGCTAGGGCCTAGCCGATCACTAAAAGAGATACTTAATAGAAAGGATATATAACTAGACTGTGATATTGCCCATAGACGGGCAATATCGCAGTCTATATATAACTATAAGTTACTACTAATAAAATTAGTTAACGTATTTCACATGCGAGCTGGCCACACAAGCGAGCTGGCCACCCCACCCAACCTACCAATTTTAAATACATTTATCTCAACCATAACGCCATTAAATTAATTCAACTAAATAAAAGGTCTATCTGGACATGTTTCTCTTCTATGCCCTGGCAATCTGCATATTCCACACCCCCGGGGGGGCCGCGTACGTGGCTGAATAGCCGATTCTCCAGGTATGCCGGGGCCGGGGGGAGGTGCCTGAGTTGCTTCCTGTTGCTGCCCAATTAATATAGAAGCTTCAAGAACTGAGAGGCCTTCTTCAGCGGGTATCTGCCTCCGGGATCTAGTACGCTTTTGCTTCTGCTTCTCGTTGGCGGCGCGTAATTCCTTGTTTTCTTTGGCGAGTAAGATAGCACCTTGCATTGTAAGACGGAAGCCTTTTACAAGCTGGTTTAATGCACGATTTGACGGGCTAGGCGGGCTTCGAGATCTTTTACGAAGTAAAGCTTTGATTGATAAAGCCTGACGACGTAGTTCTTTCTCTGTAAAGGGGGTTTTCGGGGTAAAATTCCGGCTTGATTCACTACCCCGGCTGGCTAGGGGGGTTAGGGTTCGAAGCCGAATATCAAGCTTAGAAATCACTCTCTCTGGTTTAAAAGGGACTAAACCAGCTGCCCTAAAGCTATTTTTAATCGTCTCCGATTTAAAAGCTTCAATTCGTACAAAGGGGTAGGCTTTAAGGAAGTTAAGCTTATCAATATAGTTAATCCCATTCCGCATTTTTATTTTAACTATCTGACCGTACAATCGTTTTAATACCGCAAAATAACTAATATCTAGAGGTTATAAAAGATAGGATAAATAAGCTAGTATATAAATTAGTATTACCTTATTTTACTTATAAATTATATCAAATTTAGGTATTAAATAACTTCTATAGCTGTTAAGTACTAGAAGCCAGTACCCTCCCTTCGTATACGAAGAAGTACTAAGAATAAAGAGCTTTTCTAGCTAACAAAGGCTAATTTCATCAGAGGTCTAGCTATTAGGACTAACTTCAAAACGCTAGTTCTCTAAGAGGCCTTTAAACTATAATTTAAGAAAGACTTTACCTTTAAAAATCATATACAGAGGGAGGGCCTAACCTAAAGTATTTATACACTTAATTGTAGTCACCTATTCACGATTTCTAGGTTATAAAAGTAGTCGCCGACTGTAGAATTCACTCCTTATAATAACCTTCGCTATAGCTATTAATCCTATAATAAAACCGGTCTTATCAAAGTTATAGATATCATCAGGATCGATTCTAAATTAAAGGATTATCTTTTAAACCAAATCAAACCACTCCCTAATGATTTTAGGGTCTTTACATTTCGCACGCTCGTAGTTATACCATTTCGAGAATCGGGAAGAGAGGAGAGGACGCCTTTTAACAAAGTTCGTAACCCAATTTTCACCGACCGAAAGAACCAGGGTAGTTCCACGCTTTTCAAGAAGAAGATCCGCCATTTCTCGTACCATAGAGGGCCGGGGGGCAGCTCCACGAGAATCCATAGAGAGTATCCATTTTTCAAGAGATTCCTCTTCAATTGCAGTCAATTTATGTGAATTGGCGCGAGAAATCGCGCGGTTTTGTATATCATGAAGGCGGGTAGAAAGGGTAGATCTTGGAACATCAAAACGGCGCGCCACTTCACGAATTGAAGAGATTTCTTGATTCTTAAAAGCCTGGATTGCTAGTAAGATCCTACCCTCTTGCTCTGTTGAATTTCTAGAGCTTCGGGAGCGAATTGGTGGCATGGTGGGTAGTTGAAGAAGAAAGGGTTAAATTAATTAACGCGTTTTGGGTGGGGTGGCCAGCTCGCTTGTGTGGCCAGCTCGCATGTGAAATACGTTAACATTCTGATAGTAGTAAATAAATATAAAGACTATATATTACAATAATATTAATATATAGATAGATACTATTTCTATTAGACTATTTACTTTTTACTTTTTAGAACGAGTTTTAAGCTTATTTTTAACTATTATTACCCTTACAAAGGATATACTCTCATTAGCTCTAGGGCGAAAGTGTTGTGAAAAGGTCGATCAAGTGATGTAACACAACTCCACCCTAGTAAGTGGAGATTTCACAATGAGAACATGCGTTGAAGATACTTTCCCATAGACACAGTTCCATTAAACTGTAAAACAGTGTTCATTGACATCGTAAGATCGTCTGCCTGCTGTGCGACAAAAAGCCACCCCAAACAAGCATCGAGAGCATCATAATCTATAAAAGAATTCAAACAACAGCCTCCCACAATCCATAAAATCAAGCCAATACGTGGGGTTTGTCACTTCTGACAATATACACTTCTCCAGCGAGAACTGCACATCCAACAGCCATGGAGATAGCAATGATAGGAAGGTTGACACGGGCAAATTCTAGACTGCCGACACGGATATGCTTTCTCGCCAAGATATCCCGCCACAGCAGGCCAGCCAGCGAAGCACTAAACGCAGTGCTGAATGCGCCATAGTTGACTCCGAGTGCCATGCTGTAGATAGTGGCCCACCATGTGCGATCGCTGATTGGAACTCCGCTGACTTCATGGATCTTTTGCCATGCTTGGATAACGCGCGAGAGGAGAATCGTGGTGCCGATGTTTGTGCCAGCAAACTGATAATTGGAAGATGACGAATTAGCGGGTTCGAAACGAGGGTGGAAGAGTGGAAAAGTGGTCAGCGGATTGGTCGATACTCACATTACACAGAATCACAGATAGGAACCCCATTCCACCGATACTGCCTACTGTTCCGGTCTTTTCTACCCAGTGGTCCCATCCGTACGCGAATACCGGCACCCAGCCCTTCGTGACAAGCGCCTGCACTAGGATAAACATGGTAAAAGCGAAGGGTACTAGTGCAAAAGGCATGTGGGATACCACAACCGTCACTGTAGGGAATGTCTCTTGTGACCAGTGATAAATATCACCAGCGAGCGAGACTAACGTGCGTGGGCCGTTGTCCTGATGGTACGGATATCCCCGCTTCTCCTCATCTATCGTCGTGTCGGTTGTTTGTCTCGAGTCTAGTGCCTCAGGAGTACTTGCACGAGCTAACTTTTTGCTGTCAATCGCAACACCGCCTGTTGGCTGAAGTTCGGGGAACTTTTCCTTGTCGGCGAGGGCAGAGACTGACAATGGAGTGCCACATTCTGAATAGGGATTCTTTGATGCGGTATCACTATTGGAGCTCTCAAGTGATATGCCGTCCTCGGTGTGCTCACTGCGGTGGCGCAGGCTTGTGGCATCGTATTTCTCCGACTGCTCCGGCCCTAAAGTCTCTGGGTCTATCTTTTCTGGTAGTGCTCGCTGCTCCTCTCGCTTGCGCATTTCTCGCTCTGCCTGTGCATCCTCAATATCCTGTCGACCCTTCGCAGCAATCTCACGGGTGTCGTGGCGATGGAGCCAACCAAATGCGAGATCCCAGCAGAACATGACGAAAGCAGCGGGCAATGTGACCCAGAAAACGGGATGCTCTTTGCCCGACGCATTGATTGCTAGGAGGGTGATAAGCGTGGCAGCCATGATGAGCCCCCCGAAAGATGCACCCTTTTTGTCTAAGAATGGGTTCATTATCTCTTCTAGTGAAAGTTGCTTTCCCTCCTTATCATCAGCTTCCTCTTTCTCTTCGGCGCTTCCTCTGGCATGAGGGATGTTGGGGTTCACGGGTGGTTTTTTCTTTTGGGCCTCAGACAGCTCATGCATTGTGATGGAGAGAGGAATAAGAGATTCGTCGGCAAAAATGATATATAGCAGGAATGGGAAAAGGACGATTGCCGTCACAACTACGGGAACGATCATGTTGGCTGTGTAGACAATGAACTTGATCTGGAAGGCGCCAGCGAGGACCAGGTTGGTGGGGTTTGAGGAGACAAGAATCGCGGAGGCGATGTTGGCTATGGCAAACTGGCTGTGGATCCAGGCTCTGGGGTGAACGATATTGCTTGATACACGGGTCATGTACGCCAGGAACGCTGTACCGGATAGAATGATCGGGTCGTTTCCGATGAAGCTACCGAGGCCGAAAAAGAAGACAAACAGGTAAAAGAATAGTCGGTGACCGACCTTGCCTGCCTTTTGGAGGACCTTGAAGGCCAGGTATCTGATGAGGCCAGAGGCATCGATTGAGATGGCAATGTAGGCGAGTGTGAGGAAGAAGACCATGATATCAATGGGGTTAATGTTGTCTGCTCCCACTATTCCATCATGTACCTCTTTTCGGCCAATAGCCAAAATAGCGAGAAGGAAAAGGTCCGCTATCAACGGCGCCGTGATAAAGTTCAATGGAAAGCTAAATTTCACTAAAACGGGTTGCTTGTCATCGCGTCGAGGGTGCGTCCGGTGAGGTATTATGCGCATGGCACTCAATAGGTTCAGAAGCCCGTTGGTGATCCATCGAGGCAAGTATAGAGGGATATGAAATGGGAAAAGGACAATGATATCTGCATCGCAAAAAAGTACAAGTTAGTCTCAATTTCACATTGAAGGCCTAGCCACACTTACTAGTAATAACAAAAATTATTAGGGTAATGATTGATCGCCAGCTTTTGATTTTCGAGGTATCTAGTTCGTCGTCCATTTTGAATATTTGCTCTTTCCAAGGTTCACTTCAAGAATATGCACTGGATAATAGCTGTGGTTGTCAGGTACCAAGTCAGCCTCTCTCTCATGCTTCAGGCGCAGTCAGACATGGTGACAAAATACCGGAATGCGAAAAAAGAAATTTGCATATCAAGATCGAACTCTTCTTTTTATTGCAGACACATTATCCTCGTGCAAAAATTCTGTAGAAATTTCAGCGACAAATATGGCGATCTTTCTTGTTTTTTGGCAATCGAGGATAAGGAGAAATCTTGTCCGCGGGTTGTGCTTGAATGCCAGGGAAGTCAAGAAATTGTCAAGAATGTGGGGAGATCCAGTGAGCTGCCCCTCATAATCCCATCGGAAAAGTCAAATTATTGTGACCTACGCCGGGCACAAGTGGGAGCCCAGCTGCTAATGAAGACCCTGTCAAGGTGTGGGAGGCTGTGGAATATCTCCGTTTTAGAAGCGGGTTTGTGGATCAAGGATGGGCTTTATTAAAGTTGCACTAAAATCCAGGCGAAGTACAAAGTAAATCACTTTCTTCAACGCTAGTGGAACGTTGCGAAGCACGAGCCGGGATAGGAGAGAAATTTTCGCCTCAAGGTCTGAAGGTCTGAGCCTCAGGCCAAAGAGCAATCAAAAAAGGGTAAGACATGCACGGGACACAGAGGACATATCTGATTAGCTTGTATTAGATGACAAGAAATGCCAATACTTGAAGTCAAGAGACTATTGGAAATAGGATGGAAACCCCGCAGTGTCTGCACATGGAAGGTTGACCGTCACTTTAATGTTGGTTTTACTTGGCCGATCCATGGTTCGGGCAATATCAGTCCCAGCCTTCCTCCCACTTCTCGCGACCCGTTGAATCATTAAATATTTCTTACTTCTCCTACTTCTCCTAAATCATAGCTTCGATTGCTCGGAACACTGATAAATCCACCGACACAGCCACTGCGCGATATGCAGACATGGGACCCAACTTGCCAATCAGCGGGAGCTGGTATCGCCCCATCTCGTATTCACGCCCGGGTTGCTGCGCCCGCCCAAATCAATATCACGGGGCACTTGTCGCTCCGAGCGCTAGAGCTTAACGATAAAGGCTCTTCCTTGGGTGACCCAATCCCAGCTTGACCGAGGCTCTAAAATCCAAGATGAGGCTGTTGCTGACAAAATAACTCGTACCCTGGGTGCGGTGCCCTATTCGCTCTGTTGATTATGGTCAATCTGGGGGATAGCGCTGCGTGAATAAGACGGCCCGGAAGCTCCCTGGTTTCTTTCCCTATTTCTTATGATATCGCGTCGAGCCGCATTAAGTCACTGTCAAGATTAGGGAACAACATATTAATATATGCCTTTTCTGTTACTTTATCCAAAAGTCACCGTCACCGGAGGCAGATAACATGCAATGCCAGCAATTCCCTTTATTGCCTCATTTCTAGAGCATGCTATCGTGCATCGTGCTACTGCATCGCCCCCTAATGTGACTGCGGCTGCAAGTTCCTCACAACTCGAGGTTGTCTGCGCCTGGCCGGTTTCCGGTCAATATGGCCCGGGCACCCGATTCCTGTGGGTTTCCCTGCAGAGAGACAGGCAGTGTTACAATGATATACTAACACACACCTCAGATACTATATCTTGATTGCAGCCTGTGTGGTCGCTCGCAAAGTAGAATGGATTCGGAACGCTTGTCTGGCCGCTGTGTTACTTTTCCCCGCTATTGCGGCTCTTCATGGGATTGTGCTTGCTGCGCTTCATGTCGACGGTGAGTCTAACGACCCCTTTATCACAATTGATGTTTCCCGCCCGGCTACTACCACCGAAGTGATCAAAAATCTAATATTCGATAGGCGCTATCGATATGGATGTCTATGGGGCATTCCAGCTATGCGCAATCGGCATATTAACCGCCCCAGCGACCGTTAGGCTGTCACGGACCTACTTCAATAATCCCGGCCGTGATATCATATTCTTGTGGACAGTCCTTCTCCTAGTCGGGCTAGTAAGCTTGATTGTGGAATTCATGCGCCTCAACCCCACTATTTGCCCAGGTGACGACCCGGCAAGTATTTTCTGGGCCTCAACAGGGGGCGCAAAAGGTGGTGTATTTCAATATGGCTCCAACTGTAGCATTGTTTGTAATACGGATGATGGGCCATTCTCACCGTTGCGACTGGACGCAGCCGACAATATCTACGTGATTCCAGTGCCTCATGAGCTGACATTCAATGCTACGACGCTCATTGCGGCTGCATGCTGCATTCCTGCCATCCTGTCGTTGGTATCTATGTGGATCAAAATTCTGGATGATAACTGGGAGAAGTTCTCGACTGGAAAACCTAAGCAGAAGCCAGACGATCTCATTCTGGGAACCAACGGAGCTACTATCAACCATATGACTGGAATCACCAACAAGATAAGCAAATGGCTGGCTCTCATTGAGATACCAGTGTTTGCTGCTGCAGTGCTGGGAATCCTCGTTAAAGGGGAAATGAACTTCTGGAGTACGCCACTGAGGTACCAAACAGAGCCTATACAAAGTATTGGTAAGTAAATGCTATCCCTTATCCAACTCTGGCGATTAAAAACCCAAGCACCGTAAAGCTACTAACAGACAAATGCTTAGGTCAATGGGCGCCAATCGTTGGTACAGCACTCGCTGCATTAGGATCACTGTATCTGCTTCTCTCTGCGGATATGAAAGCCGCAGAAAAAGAAGATGGACAGCAACAAGAGATTATTGTGGGGAAATGCCAAAATTGTGACTGTGCTGTTTCAGACACCGGAAGCAGTTCTCGACGAGACTCTAGAACAAGTGCCGAGAGACAGGACCTCGATATGGAACTGAAAGCCATACGCCGCCATACTACCAACCAAACCAATATCACCCAGCCCGATCTAGGAAGACGGAAGGTTGCCCGCTTATTCAATGCAGCAAGTGACTTTATGACCACCAAAGCTCACAACCAAATCGAGAAAACGGGGTTCAAACCCGAAGCGAAAACAACTTACCCGGAGACACCAGGAGAGAGATACAAAAACTCAGATCTCCAAAAACAAATAGACAAATACAAAAGGTCTTCTACACCTGATAACCGATCAAGAGCTGGGAGCAGCAGGGGCTCCGTAGACAATGGCGAAGGCAGCTCAAGGAGGCCCCGGAGTCCAACGCGGCGTTCAGTGCCTACCCCAGCTGTCTCACGGCCAAGATCCCGTCAGACTCACTCGAATTCGCTCCCAAGCGGAGGGATTTTTGAGACATCAACCTTGCAGTGTCCTCCTGCGTCCGCGTCCGCGGGTTGGCAACGACAGTTGAGTCCGTTCGATATAACGTCGACCTCGCGAAGCAGAGCACCATCTATTTCGGAGGTCAGCCCCACAGCTTCATCACCGGGGCTTCAGGTACCGCCGGAGATAGTGGTATCCGCCCATGACAGTAATTGATTGTTTTATCTATGGGGATCTGGTGTTTCCAATGGCGCGTGTTTTACTAGGATGCGGCTAGTCCGCTTTATGATTGCATGACTTGATTATGTTCTGGGAATATTTGTTGGATTAAACGATGTATATACTACACGGTGTAAATATACAAGTTTGCTTCATATCATGACACTTTCATGAAACAAGCGGTCTGTGCCCTTTTCCCGCTCTTTTCTAATAGTTATATCTCGCAAGTATCTCGCAAGTAATGAGCAGAAAGAAGAAATATGCCCAATCAGATTGAGAAATCTATCAGAAAAAATCGAGATAATTATGAAATGAAATCCATTACCACGGTCCTCCAGAACTGGTGTTATCCACACCGCGGCAACACCGGATAGCCATCCGGTCTACCCCCGCCCGACACAACCCCAGAAAGAGTTCCATCCCGGCAGCCCCTGATCCGACGATAATCGTACGATACTATCAAATGGCATCAAATTCACCGGATAACGAAACACCTAACGGGCGGCCCTCCAAACGGCGCCGTGTAGCCGTCGCCTGTGATGCATGCCGAACCCGCAAATCCCGATGTGACGGCAAACGGCCCAGCTGCTCGCTATGTCAGGATTTAGGATTTGAATGTGTTTACACGCCACCGCCAGCGGCCACTAATCTCATTGTACAGAAAGATTATCTGCATGGGCTTGAAGATAGGGTAAAGAGGCTTGAGGAGTCTTTTGGAGCTGTTAGGGGTGATTTGGATGGGTTGGCGAAAAGGGTTGATCGTGGGCCCGAAAAGGACAGGAAAAGGGGGTCTGCTATCTCTGGTCATAATGTTGGGGAGAGTCAGGGTGATGCGAGAATTGCTACACCGATGCCTAATTTGATTGGGACGGAGGATTCAGTCGACGGTATGGGTGCAGTGATTTTTGAGGATGAGGAGGATTCCGGGTTCTTTGGTAAGTGTATCCACTTGATAAACGAGTTCTAGATTGCTAAAGACTTACTAGGCCCTTCTTCAAATATTGCATTTCTTCGGCATTTGTCGAGCGCTATTGTTCAGCCGGGGTATTTCCCTTCACCTGGCGCCGCTGAGGGTGGCTTCGTGAATGCATCGAGGCCATCATCACCTCCACGTCAGAGAGGGCAAGATCAGCGCATACAAGTGAACATATTTGCATTACCGCCGCAGGCAAACACTTTGGAGCTCATCCAACGCTACTTCTCTAACACGGGCTTGCTATTTCCGTACATATACCCGCCCTTCTTCCTGGACATATATCACCAGATGGTACGGGAGAACTTCAGTCGGGTAAGGAGAACTTGGCTCGGCTTGTTAAACATGGTTCTGGCTATGGCTACTATTGCTGCAATTCCTGGAAGTGCGAGTGCAGATGCTCGGATCAAAGAATCGGATGTCTTTTATCAGCGTGGCGTTGGCTTGTGTGGGAGTGAAATCCTGCGAGGGACAACCCTAGAAGTGGGTAAGTAGCTCTTGAATTTTGTTTCTTTCGAAAGGTTTTCCTGACTGTGTTTCCTCAGTTCAATATTTGCTCCTGATGGGCCAGTACCTCCAAGGCACGCAAAAGTCAATACAAGCATGGACCGTCCATGGATTAGCCGTCAAAGCCGCTCTTCAGCTTGGATTACATTCACGGCATGCATCTAAACTATTTTCTCCTATGGAGCAGGAGATGCGAAAGCGGACTTGGTACGGCTGTGTGGTTTTAGACCGGTAAGTGGCTAAGTCTCTGAAGACCGAGCATATGCTGACAATGTAGAACTTTGAGCATGACTTTTGGCAGACCGGCAGCTATTCCAGATAGCTACGTCAAGCTCGAGCTGCCCATGAAACGGGAATTTGAAGATTCAACAGGACCTGCGGATGAAGATCCAGCGGCCTTGAGCGTTGTATTCTTCAACTCAACGATGTAAGTGGTTCAGCTCGACACCCATAGAAGTCCTATTTCCTAATATATATCGAAGTGGACTTTATAAACAGCTTTGGAACGTCCTAGAGCTTCTCTATGGCCAAAACATCGGCTGCGACGGCCCATTGCCAGTCAGCGAAACTGTGGCCCATATCTTCGGCTTAGAACAGCAGTTGTTCTCCTGGGAACGGTCGCTTGCCCATCCATTACAACTCATATCTTCGGCTAGCATTGCGAATCTGCCTCATGATCAGATGTCATCTAATTCCCAATATCTCTCGTTGAAGTTTCAAGTCATCCTGACCTTGAGATATCTTAATCTTCGAGTGTTACTCCATCGCCCAATACTGGTCAAATTCATCACCGCAAGCAGGTCCCCTGATCGCGATCCTCAAGATATGAGATTGTTGCAACAGATTGGTATGAACAGCTTACATATATGCGCTGATTCCGCGATGGAGATCATTGATATCGTACATCACATGGTATCAGAACCTGGATGGAAGCACAGCCTCTTAGGGGCTTGGTGGTTCTCATTATACTATAGTATGTTCCCAATTTCTCGCTCTGAAGTTTTGGATGCTGACAATTCCATAGCTTTCAACGCGGCACTGGTCCTCATTGGAGTGGTTTGGATCTACCGTGATACCAACCTAACAAGCTCCCCAATGACAGATCAAACAAGCAAAGCCAGACATTATCCCGGTCGCGCAGTAGCAGCACTTTCCAGGCTCGATGAAAGAAACCGGTTGATTGATAGATGTCGGTATTACTTGGAACAATTCAGCAAGGTCTTGAATGATCATGGTCAGTCTCTATTTCGTCTTTTCCATGCTCCTGGGATTATACTAACATTAGTGTGTGTATCAGAAACGAATTTTGATGCCTCAATTACAACCCTTCCCGTTCTCCATGGTAATCGAGCAGGCCTCACAGGGGACGACTTCAATTTCTCGCCATTCGGTATGGAGCTTGGCGAGTTCATGATGGATGGGGATCTTGTTGCGATGATGGATCGTCAGGGACTTATTCCCGTAGATCCCGATTCAGCCTTTACTGCTTGATCTCTGGAAGTGTTAATTATGTACCAATATTATATTCCATGGCAGCTGGTATTGCTATGGTTCTCTCCAACCTACTCTTGCCCGGCACCTGGTGGTTTTTTCATTATGCACATCACCTGTAGTGGATTATGCGAAAGATACAAAGAGCATAGAGCGGAAATTTGTTTTTTTTTATTATTAATTGCTGCGCCCCTCACATGGGGAGTCGAGTTCCATGTTATGGGGATATATATAGCTACGATGAAAGCATCGATAGAAAGAAAAGCCGTTTGAATGGCAAAGATTTTCAAATATTAGCTTGGGTAGTTAGTACTGTCCAGAGTTAAGTGTCTCAACTACCAAATGATCAGCCATGAGCTCTCAAGCCGCAAGCTCCTTTCTCCGCTCAAGTCTCGCCCGATACGCCATCTTTGAGATCAAGGTTGCCATTCCAGCATGGTCGCAGTCAATATGAGGCTTCTTTCCCAGCAAGATATCACCTTCTTGTCCATCTCGCTTAGAAAAGTCGAAAGCCTTCGGCTTATTACAGTTATACTGTGCATTAGCCGCACGAAGAAGGCATATCTCATTTTTCATGCAGTCGTCATTGCAGCTCTCGACTTCGAATCCGCGGACACGTCTCGCCCAATAATCTTGGAAAATGGTCGTATTGTGTTCCATGGCGACAGTGACGTTGTGCCAGAAAGCTGGAGTAATCTCGGCTTTTGGATCAGTGAGCGGAGGAGAGATCTTGGATCCGTAGTCTGCTTTGACGGAGTAATAGGGTACCCATTGTGGCTTTGTTTGGAAGGATGGGTCGCTGATGTTGGCAATGTACTGAGTGTAATCCAGGATACCGAAGGTGACCGGATCGATGTCGTAGACGCGGAAAGAGGGTGAGCCTTCCGTGGGCGTCACCGCTGGTGCGATATAACCAATTGCAGTGGCTGTGTCCCAGTCTCGGTTGTTGTAGTCGGAGTATGCGACCTGAAATCCATCCCGGTGCGTATGACCATAGAACAACCCTGCAATGGTGGCTTCGTAGCGCTGTACAATCTGGTCGAAGTACTCTGAATGGTCGCGGAAATGATCAGGTACACCGGATGGGATGTGAGAGATCAGCCATGCGCGTTGGCCTGCGTCCTCGGCGGCCTGAAGTTCATTGATTAGCCATTCAAATTGTCTCCGTGGGTCCTTCCCCATTGGTTCCTGATACATATAGAAGTTGTATATGTAGTAGAAGATGCTGTTGTAAGATATTATGCGCAGGTTGCTGTCGGGATGAATGGCCGAGTATGACGCAAATTGGTCTGCAGATTTCACGGAAGGAACGCCCGTGAGTCCGTACCAATCTTCGGCAAGAGCCTCGTACGTCCATTGGGGATTAGCTTCACTCGAAGCATCAGGAGGAAAGAGGTTGAGTGGTGCGGTGTCATGATTTCCTATGGCAGCGTACACAGTGCCGATATCTTTTTCCATTGCACTGTACGTGGCATTGAGCCCGTTCAGGGCTTCGGCCTCGTCAACCAACCAGATATCGTGAGCCACCACATCGCCGGTGTAAATAGAGAACTCCGGATTAATGTCTGCGATAGCAGCATGCAAGCTCTCCTGAAGTATTTGTGGTGGGTCACACTTTGTGTTTCCAAATGGTCCACATGGGTGTTCCGTGTTCTCTGGTGCATATTTATCCGACCAAAATCTGCAACAGATTGGCTTGGAGCATTCGTAGCTGGACCCAGGCTCGTAGAGGAGGTCCACATGTGTATCGCTGAAATGGACAACCTTGAGCGGTGTCTTGCCGCTAGGTGGCGGCCTCGCAGTCTTTGGCTTGGGTGAGGGGAACGTTAGACTGTAGGGATGGACATCAGGGTGCTTGCAGAGCCCGACCAAACTAGCGCACAGTGTCTTGGAGACGTCGGAATTAAGATGTAAAGCTCTGAAAGTATCATGCAGTGCAGGTCCTTCTTTCTTGATAATCCCAGTGCAGACATCTGGGTCCTCGACCTGTACACTTATGATTAATGGAATTGCGGAAGTAAGTCCATGAGAATCACAAACGTACCCGCTGATTTTGCACAACCCAGTGAATACATCGATCATGAATTTTTCACCAAGCCCTGCGGTAACTTTGATGCTACCGAGGAGAACCTGTAGAATTGCATAGAGTAAGCTCAGGATCTTATATGCAATGGAAATGCCAGGCATAATCATACCTGGCAGGCACCGCAGTCCACTGCATTCTTGAAGTCGTCCCAGATAGAAGCGATGGACTCCTCAACTTGAGTCTCGGCTTGTACCCCCCGGAGAGACGCCGAAATCCCCAATGCTAGCAACAAAGTGTTGAGTCTCATCTTGACGAGGATTGACTAGACGAATAGACTGATTTGACAATGATAACCTTGAAAGCAGCCAGGGCACTCTGTACCTTCCCAGCGTTGATGCAAACTTCTGGGTGGTTGATATCTTAAATATCACGGGCCAAGAGCAGCTGGGCAGACCCTTTCGTACTTTTCCAAATGGAAGGTGATCATACAGCTCGCTTAGACGGATTGAACTAAGGGCCTACATCTTGTTCGGTTCCGACATAACCTTGGGGTGGCTTTTTACCATGTGATAAGCAATAGAGTAGCATTCAGTATTCCTCTCGAGATGGCTATGTACGTTGTAGTTGGTACATTTGTTCATTAGGCGCAAAGCGTAGTTGAGCGGGGAGAATTCTACAATAAAACGCATAGAAGCGGGAATTAACAGTAGCCGATCGGTCAAGAGGGGTTCTCGCGACTACATACTGGAATAAGAAATGGAGCCAAGAAGCTAGCAGGTAGTTCCTTGTAACGCTGCGAGGCCGCTGGTCTCAGGGGCTGATGATCATAGGCTGTTAAGGTCCTCTTGGCATGTTCGCATATACTCGGGAACTTGCGGCCTTGAAATAGGAGTCGTCGCAGGGTTCAAAATGAACCGTACAACGTACGAAGTAGTAACAGAATATATATGAATGATCAGTATGCATAGCACCATTAAGCCCATGCTCATCCGGTAATATGAAGATCATTGTGGGAAGCGTCGGTCCATCCTACCAATCGTTGTACATGCCAAGCTCAGTGCCTGCAGCGTATTGGCTCTGTCGTGCGGGTTATCCCGAACGAAGAATTGTAGGATATTGATCTGAGGCAGAAGATCAATATCCATGCTTATATCTGCTGCTTGAGTGTAAGGAGTAGGCGAGCTGCAGTTTTTGGCCTGATGCATCACACTAAAAACCGGGAATAGCTCACTGTCGATCGCAAATATCACAGAACCGCCGGTCTCACGCACGAGTTCATCAATTAAGTCCCTCAGCGCAGCCTCGCAGCACCGATTCAATTCAATACAATGACTGCCAGGTGTATCAAATGCGTGAAACTCTTGGGTTCGGGGAAGACGGAAGGGCTCATGTATAGGAACCATGATTGATGAATTGCCTATATAGGCGCAAATCAGCACAGCCCCTGACAGAGTACTCGTACAAGTATCCTGCGAACGAGGAATCACAATAGCGCGTAATCCGCATAGTGTTACATCTCATGGGAAGCTCCAACTGGTCCTCGTCATGCGCTGTGGGTCTCGCGTTCGTATGTTGTGCCAGAATTTCATTGGGTGAGGCATATGTGGAGACCTTCATTATGGGATAATCCCTTAGAAATGGTATTTGTGTAGCAATGAATTTTTGTATTTGTGTACTCCGTAGTATCATAGCTTTAGACCCGTAGCCTCAGAAGAGAGGTCATAATTGGGCCAAATTGCAAGAAAAGGAAAGTTCAAGGTGATTGGCCGCCCAAAACCGGGGTAAAACCTTGAACGGGTCCTAATTTTCTCTTTCCCCCACATTCCTTTTGACATCTTCAACTTCTTCTTTTCTTCCCCCTTTTCCCGTCTATCTCAACAGCTCCAACCAGATATTGAATCTCTATTCCTTCAAATCTCCTCTCTCCCCGGTCCTCCATACCCTGGATTTGGGCTCCGTTGGGAACGAGACGATGACGCCTCCGCATACGCGCCATTTCAGCCCGCCTACGATCGCAATTTTACATTAAAAACCGAAGACTTCAATCGTCTGCAATACTCTGCGCTAAATTCGGGGTTGTTAGAATTGGACTGTCCGGACTGTCCGCTGGGGCAGTCCACCGTCAATTTTGTCATGGAGGGTCGTCAACAAGCTACGCTGGGTGTTTCGATCACCTTTTTCTCGATCGCCACTATTTTTGTCGCCCTTCGGTTCATTTCTCGAATATTTATGGTCAGGAAGATTGCGTTACACGACTGGTTGATGTTGGTTGCATGGGTAGGATCCCCCGACTTGATCCCTGCATGTACCCGGGGATGTAGCGAGAACGGACTCGATCTATTGGCGAACCGGGCACATCATTGGAACCTCGTGCTAGAGCTTGGAGGCTAACCAGTCTGCAGATAATCGATTTTGGCTTTTCCTTCTCCCTATTCTTTGCTGTCCGGAATGGTCTTGGCCTCCATTCAAGTGACATCAAGCCTGAAGATCAACTTGCTTTTAATAAGGCTAATTATGCATTCACGGTCCTTTATGTGAGTTACAGCTGCCTTTTCTTTTACCTCCCTTTGTTACTCCGCAAGACAATAATAAAAAAAAATGGCATGCTGACAACCATTTAGAACCCGGCGTTAATGGCCGTCAAGACCTCGATCCTTGTCTTCTTCCTAACCTTGACGCGCAATCAGAAGGTTTTCCAGTGTGCAAATTATGTCACTCTGTTTATAGTAAACGCAGCGGGCTTGGCATTAACATTGGTCAATGTTTTCCAATGTCGACCCATCGGCGCGGTATTCCTTTCCGACGTCCCAGCCTATGCGAATTGCACCGATATTGTCACCCTGTACCTCTCCTCGTCCCCGGTGAATATTATTACGGATCTCGCTATTCTGTTGCTTCCGATGCCGCTTTTGACAAAAATGCGCCTACCTTTCAAGCAAAAGATCATTTTGGTGATCACTTTCTCCTTTGGTTTCTTTGTCGCCGTGGTCGATGTGATCCGAATTGCCTTTCTTCAACAGGCTGCCATCTCTCGTTCGCTGGAAGTCAAGTCAATTCATATTCAAAACATCGGAGGGGTAGATTTCAGTTGTACGACTCACTCATCTCCCATATTTGAAACTAACTTGTGAATTGAGCTGACAGCGCGGATTTCGCAGGGTACGCGTCGCTATCTTTCATGTGGTCTGTCGTCGAAGTCAACGTGTCGATCATTTGCGGTTGTGTTCCGAGTCTCAAACCTCTCGTCACTCGTCTTGTTCCGAAATTGATTAGAGATACAAATGATGAGACATCAACTTCTTCGCCTCATGGACTCTCTGCGGGCGCAGTGGGGGAGAGTCAGGTCGCAGTGCCGCCTCCGGCTGCAGCCCCTGGTTCGCCAGAATCTCCGTCGCTACTGCCATTGCCACCGAGCAACGAAGGAAGCAAGGATCTACAGAACCAAATTGATGGAATTTCTGCTGGTCGACCTAGCTCCCGGGACTCGGAGCCCATAGGTATATTGGATTTCCTAGGTCACCCAGAAACAGCACCCCTTGATACAGAGGGAGGAACCCATACGAGCGCATCTTATGCACCGGATATCACGTTTTTCGATTTTGTCAACATGAAGAACCCGGAAAGTATGCTGAAGCTAAACAACAGAGAGTCGATTGCGCCAATTGCATTGACCACGCTACTATTTTTCCTTTGGGGTTTCGCATACGGCTTGCTTGATATTCTGAATTCCCAGTTCAAGAGCATCGTCAATTTAGGTCCGTGGCATTCCTTGGGTCTTCATGGCGCCTACTTCGGCGGATACGTATTTGGCCCTCTGCTGGTTGGCCAACCCGTCTTGAAAATATGGGGCTTCAAGTCCACGTTCATAACTGGTCTTTGCATCTATGCCTGTGGAACCCTCATATTTTGGCCTTCTGCTGTTTTAACGTCGACACCTGCGTTTATTTTGTCAAATTTCATCGTCGGGTTTGGTCTAGCAGTTTTGGAAACTGCGGCAAATCCGTTCATTGCACTATGTGGACCACTTGAGAATTCCGAAATCAGACTCAATATTTCACAGGGTGTTCAAGCTGTGGGAAGCGTCTTGTCGCCGCTCCTGGCGAAACGGGTTCTCTTCAAGGATGTTCGGGATGTCGCATCTTTGGTTGACGTACAATGGGCATATCTTGGGATCGCTTTATTCGATGTGCTATTGGCAGTGGCGTTCTATTATCTACCAATCCCCGAAGCTTCGGATGAAGATTTGGAAGAACTAGCAAATCGACGCCGAGAAGACAATATGACCAAAGTGATTGGCATTCCGGTCGTTTGGCTGACTCTCGGCCTGGGAATTTGGTCTCAGTTCTTCTACGTGGCTGGACAAGAAGTACTCTCAACAGCTCTTCAACGTTTTGTTATAGCCGCTCGTCCAGATTCATCACTCGGGCCATTCGATTTCTTGACTATCGGACACAGCGTTTTCGCTGTGGGTCGCTTCCTGGCCGCGTTTTCGCAGTGGTTCCTCAAACCACGCTGGATTCTGATGGTCAGCTACATCGGTATGATCGTCTGCTCTATTCTTTGCATGAAAACAAGCGGTACAGCAGCAATAGTCATGGTAATGCTACTCTATCTCTTCGAGAGCGGCGCATTCAGCATTATCTTCGCCATTTCCCTTCGCGGCACAGCTCAACATACGAAAACAGCCGCTGTCTTGCTGACAATGGCCGTCAGCGGCGGTACCTTTTTCCCGTTTGCCGAGTACGCGGCATACCTCGCACACGGCGCGTCATATTCCTTCTGCGTTCTAGTCGCGGTCTTCTGTGCCGGTGCCATCTTCCCGATCTACCTCAACCTCGTACCCGCCGTGAAAAAGCAAGTTGACCCTGTTCCAAACGAGTATCTCCGCCGGCATCGCCGCCGAACTCGGAACCCGGTCGAAACCATGCACCGCGAAAAGGATAATCCTGCTCTCGGTGGTGTGCTTTCACGTCCGCGCAGTCTGGCATCGAATCCAGACCACTTACCGGATCTTCTACTCCCAGAGGAGATTCACCAAAATTCCCTTGCTCATAATCTTCCAAGGGCTAAATCTAGCTCTGGCTCTAGCTCGCGTGTCAATTCGACTTCCTCTCACCATTCTGGCTCGAAGCAACGGTTCACCGCTAGAATCGATGATTCATGATCGTTGCTCGGCGAGCTTGACTGCTTCCCTTGCATCTTTCCTTTTTCCTCTACACCTCACCACATTTGTGAACCTCTTAGATACCCTTTTGCTTTCTCTTTTTGGGATTCGTGTGACAATATTTAGTCACGTATTTTCTCTGTGCATATTCTAGATGCCAATCCTTTTTTTTTTTTTTTCTTTTGCAGCATTTCAGCGATGGTGTTTTGACCAAAAGCTCTTCGGATTCTCTCTTCGCTCAATATTGGTTTCGCCGCCTAATGACATTCAACTAATCTCGTGATCAAACTTGACTTATCACCGGAATCAATTCTTCTAATGTGTAACTTCGATCTGGTTTATTTTCGGCCATGAGAATGTCCTCATATATATGCCTTCCCTGTTCGCCGGGGTTTCGCCAATCATACTTTGAAGTTGGCTCGACCCGTACCGGCACCCTACTAAAAAGGCTACTCAAGATAGGAGGAAATTTTCATTCTCAGGTGATGCATATAAACATACGTATTTCTCATAATGTTCGATGAAGTAAGCTAACTTTAAAAATAAACCATGATTCAATACAAAGTAGGTGGTGAATTGACCTGCTTTCATTACATTCGACTTGAGTGGCTTCATCGCTCTTTATTGGTATGAACGTTGGTTCGGTAAAAAGAACAAGGCTTAGGCATTAGGGGTGTTGATCTGCTCCGGCTCGCGCTTCCCGCCCAGCACCCGCCGCCAAGTTTTGATCATGTTGCTCGTGTTCAGTGCAACCAGCTTGCTTGTTGGCATCAAAAACAGCTCGTCGATCTCCTCCAGCGTCTTGTCTTTCGTCTCAGGCATGAAGAACAGTTGGTAAAAGAAGCCTAGCGCGGCCAACCCACCGAAGAAACCGATCGTCAGGCCGGTGTAGGTCATGGCCTTCTGCATCCCCTCGAAGTTGTATGTCACGATGAATGACCACAAGTAGAGGAACGCAGAGCAAATTGCCATTCCCTGGCTGCGGGTGTTGAAATCAAAGCTCTCAGCTGGGACAACCCAGGTCAGGCACGAATACGCTCCGAAGAACGCCATGTACAGCACCAGGCCGGAGAAGAACAATCCCAAGGCAGTCGCCCTGTGCGCATTGAAGTAATCGATACCACTGTTGGTATACAGATAGCCGACGCCGACCAGCACCAGGCCCACGATGAACATCAGGATGTTTTGTGCCCACACGCGTCGGCCGAACCTGTCCATGGTGAACACGGCAGGAATGGTTCCGAAGAACAGCGCACCGCCGCCCACCATGGACATCAGGACTGACTCGCGGTCATTGAAATTCATCTTGGCCATCAAGTTCGACATGTTGTACATGATCGCATTGATGCCCGTCATCTGTCCGAAGAAGATCATCAGAGTGGCGTAGACAAGCGCACGTCGGTTACGCGGCTGTCGGCACACTTCCATGTACCTCTGATACCACAGCTCGTCCGCGGACCGCTCGACATCATGTTTGACTGTGACTTCCATCAAGACGTACTCGTCCAGACTTTTCGGGTCCGACATATCACGCAGCGACTTCCACACCTGCCACGCGCGTCCGTACTTGCCCTTGGATACCAGCCAGCGGGGGGATTCCGGCAGGAAGCACATGCCGACCAGCAGGATGGTTGAAAACAAGAGGGACGAGCCCAGCATCCAGCGCCAGCTGCCTGACTTGACTTCAAAGAATACACCGCCCGCCGCATAACCGATGATCTCTCCGAATGCGATCATCAGCTGGTATACGGACACCAGGTTACCGCGCACCGCTGGCGGTACACATTCCGAGATATAGATACCGACACAGCCACCTTCGATTCCGATACCGATGCCCAGAATGAATCGGCCGGCAAACAGCATTGACACATTGCGGGATCCCGCGCAAAGTCCTCCTCCCAGTGTGTACCACAAACACGAGATGATGATCGAGTTGCGGCGTCCAAAATAGTAATTCAGCGGGGTCATCATGAGCGCGCCGGCCATTGCGCCGAGTGGCATCAGTGAGGAAATCAGCGAAACGTCAGTCGCCAGTTTTGGGTCGTCCAAGCCCGTCCACTCGCCAGACGCGATGAAGTGCTTGCGAATACCAGGCAGCGCGCCTGAGATCACAGACTGGTCTAATCCACTCAGCATACCACTGAACGCGGCGAACACACCCAACGTCATAACTAGCATACGTGGGCTCTTCATGTGTATTGGTATCTGCGTGTACGCTATCCGGTCATACGCTGATTCGTTGCTGAGATACTGCTGGCTCTGCATGTCGCGAGCCTCGATCTCTTGTTGACGCTCCTCGGGAGTGAGTTCATCGTCGATGAACTCCTTGCCCATGGCGTCGGGCTTTTCAACATAGTCGGTCATTTTGTGTGGGTCGAAGCATTCACGTAAGAAAGCTTGTTTGGGTTTAGAATGGAAAAGAAAAACAAGGGTCAAAAGGAGAGGACCCTAATGCCCTCTATATAAGGGATGTTTAGAAAAAAAAAATTGTCAGCGGGATATCGTTCTCCCCCAATTCCCCGACCTCCATGCCCCAGACCCCCACAGACCCCACATCACCCCCAGAGGACCCGCCAATTAAGTTTTTTCCTTTTTTCTTCTTCTTTTTTCCTTCTTTTTTTCTGAAAAGCGTCGTCGCTGTGTTCCAAGTGTCTGTTATTGTGGCGTTATGTAGGTTTCAGTCTAGTAATATATACAGGGAATGCTGTGTATCGGGATGACACCACCTTCAATCATAGTGAGAGTGGAAGGCTCAGAAGTTAGGGTTTCTTCAACGGCTAAAGTCAAGTAGGGGTCAGAAAATGTAGACCTGTCCTTCCCAATCTGCTTTTCGTCAGTATTCCCCCTTCAATGACCTCGCATTGCAACAAATCCCAAATTACAGTTTGTAACATTACAGACCTTAAGCCTTTTGTTGGAATGACCGGGAACTTACGGCCAAGCATGCCTAGCTCGATCGAGTATTTGATGAGCGACGCCTCTAGTTTACGAATTCGGGAAACTTTTTCCCCGCTCCCCCACTCTATCCCCCCACTTTTTCCCCAAAAGACGTTGGTCAAGTGACAAATATGGAAGGATCCGGCACAGAAGTTTCTGGGCTCATACAATTTACCCCATCTGCCGAGCCGGATGGCTCCGTTAGACCGGGGGTTGGCTAAGGGCGCCGAGTATTTTTCTCCGAGGACAACCCGGCAGGGGAACAAGAACCCGGGGACATCGAAGCCGACGGAGAGATACCGAGACAAAATCCGAGTTAATATCGATTCAAACCACTATAGTGATGGACTACCAGTATATTCTCTTTTCGTATGCAACTACACTGCTTGATGATATTCCACCACGTCTCAGCTGACGGTATTGTCGGGCGTACCAGACTTGTCGGATATTTTGACTTTCAGGAAGAATTGGGAATATACCCAGACGCCCATACGGAGTACAGAGTCTTGCCGAAAATCTCCCGAGCCCCATACTAGGCGTAGCGACGTGCCTGGCCTGACACTTGGTGCGGCTCGGACCTCGTCCGAGATTGGTCACAGAGAATGCAATGCCACCCGATACATCCCTACACGGCAAGTTTCGTCCACGCCCGCCCTGGATCCGGAGGCGCCAAAAAGTAAAAACCCCTCTAGTCAGAGTCGCCCATAGTGAGGCAATTCCCAGGATGTCGGGATAGTTTTGATTGCGAGTTCGGATGAAATTATAGTTTGGCAGAAGACTTCCCTGGCTTCCCCGGCTCCGAGTGTTGATGTCATGAGACATCGCCACCCGAACCTTCGGTCCAAAACCGAAGCCGTAATTCCCCATGTACCTGCAATGGATCGGCAGACCTGAACTCACACCCCCATGGGGAGCTCACCGAAATCCATTTCGGTATCCTTGTTCTTACCTGGTAATCGGCCCGTGCCAAGATGAGTAAAGTTGCCGAATCATTGTCGGGAGCCCAGAATGGAAGGAATAATGTCAGATCTCACGCCCATTTCCTACCGACAGCGCTTTACCAGCCTCCTATACTAGAAGCTGCATGGGGGCCTGATATCTTCTAGCATTTAGACCTGGTAGCCTAGCTTAACTACTCCATAACGACACTGATATTGCTAAAGCGATCTGCCATTACTGCACATATAGGCTTTGTGGTCAAGTGGAACTCCCAACCTACCGATCTACAATAGAGACGCTAAATTCGTCAGTATCTTCAACCACTTCCCCATAGACTACTCCGTACTACAACCTGGTAACTGGCAATAATGGGCAAAGCTAAACTCAATGCCATGTTCCCCGCATATGCTCCTAACATCCGCAGAGACTGTTTCCCCACGCCTCAAACCCCCGCAATTCCTCTTCTCCCAACGCATTTGTTCACCGGGAACCACTCCATCTAAAAAGTCTGGAGTACACTGATCCGCAAACCAGAGAACTGCCGCTCTCTGACACCCACAAGCGCCTTGGCTACCCCTCAAACATAGAATACTCAATTAAACTCCCAAATCTAGGCCTCCGATTCCCGAATACCATTCCCCTATCTATCGGCCCAATAACCCGATTCGTAACACTGACATCATTTATCGTACTCACAGACTCTCCTTCTACAGTAATAGCGTAGTGCAGAGAGGTTGACCCCGGTATTTTCGGTAATGTTCCCCAGATTAACCTGATTATAGTGGTAATACTCAAAGTACTGATGTGAGTGCACGTGGCTAAGAACTCGGACAGTCCACACTGGATGTTCGAGCTTTCCAGGACTAGCTCGCGGACCTGCTCGACGTGCCGTGGAAGATTGAAAGAAATGCTGAAACCGGAGTCCTCGTCATCGCCGTTGTTGCTATAACATCATTGTGGTGCAGCACTGTTGATTGGATAGACTTTTAGCCCTCGTGTGTGACAACACGTCGTTTGCCTGATATGAAGGGCGCAATTTGCGTTTCAACTAATATATTTCGAGCACTTTGCGGTGTTACCGCAAATTAATACAGCCCTCCATGGATTCATACATGGTTGAATGACAGAAACAAGTTCAATACTTTAGAGCCTTTCACATTCCCATCGCAATGCAAAAAAAAAGACATAGCCTTCATATTGGCGAAAACGAAAATGAAACAACGATAAACAACTCTCTCATTGAACTTTCTTGGGCTCCGCGGTATGTTCATCTCCGATTGTCGGCTTTGTAGCCCGAATGGCCACGTAGCGATGGATGTTATAGTATTGATAGCGCAGCCACGGCATTGATGAAATAATTCTTGAGGTTAAATGCCCCATGAAGAGGAAATAGATGTATGCAACAATGAAGAAAAGGCGCAGCATCGGTTTCACGTTTTCCGAGAGATTGGTCATCTTTTGCTGAGATAGCGTTTCTGCCCTAGGTGGATGGGACCTTACTCCCTGTTTGATCGTCCTTTCCCTGACTCCATCTCTCTCTCTCTCTCTCTCTCTCTCTCTCTCTCTCTCTCTGCCCGAAGCAGCAACAGCTTGCTTAATGAAACAGATGGTTTTATCTCACAATATCTTTATTTCTATAAAACCGGCTTACTCCAGAAACAACATCATGTAGCACAAGGAAGCTCCCAGGATTTAAGATGTGCAGAAACCCTTCAGGCACTACTTTCGTGTCTGCTGCATGCACCAGTGTCTCCATAAATAAAATGGAGCCAGCTGGAGACGAACAGCCGTTGATCGACAACAACCCCATGCTACAATCCTACTATTGTTCCATCGAGTCAAGAATCGGTTACCGATTAATTCTTGGTGGACCACGCCATTTTGGATACTACTCACGTGATACTTGGTTGCCATTCCCCCTAAGCCACGCGCTCCGCGCTATGGAGGACAAGCTGGAAGCATTGCTAGATCTTGGACGAGGTGCTTATGTTCTTGATGCTAGGTGTGGCGTCTGTCATGTTGCTATTCACCTGGCAACCAAATATGGGTTGAAAGTTCAAGGCATCGATATCATCGATCATCACATTGTCAAAGCGAGGCGGAATATTGCGCACTCCGGTCTCCCTGAAGGACAGGTTGCGATACGGAAAATGGATTATCACCATTTAGACGGCTTTGCGGGACGTTTGACGGCGTCTACACAGTGGAAACCTTTGTCCACGCTACAAAGCCTCAGGACGCGCTACGCAATTTCTTTCGGGTCCTACGTCCTGGAGGGCGCCTTGCGTTGTTCGAATATGATCACAGTCCACTCGAGAATGCCGAAAAGGCAGCGGTTGATTCTATGAACAAGATCAACGAGATCGCCGCCATGCCGACTCATGCCCTATCGCAACCTGGAGTTTTTCAGTGAATGCTCGAAGATGCTGGCTTCACTGATGTCGTTGTCCGGGATTATTTTCGAAACATCAAGCCAATGACCCGATTTTTCTATCTGCTTGCTTGTACCCCTTTGCTTATTGTTTCCTTTTTTAGTCTGGAGGCTTTTTCATCAACACTGTCGCAGGAGTGGAGTCTTATCGGGGTCGCCTACACTGGCGGTATGTGGCCATTTCAGCTTCAAAGCCAAGAAGCACTGATGAGACGAAGAAGGTTCTGTAGATACACATACTCCGGTGCACCTTGGGTACTTTGGGGGGGGATATACTTTTAAAACATCCGTTCAAGATAATCGGGGTTGAGAAAACATAAGATTGCACTCTATCAAAGATGTTATAAGAAATATTCCCATAAATCACGGCTCAAAAGCCTACGCAAGAAGGCTCGTAGTATTTTATACACCAGATGGTTGCTCCCGAAGGGAGATAAAATCCTCAATGTAGAGCAAAAGTCGACTGATGGTATAGAAAGCAGAGATAATTGTGATGGGGATCAAAATTCGAAGGGGTATCCTGGCATCTAGATCTTGGTTTGGCAATGTCGCACACCATTTCTCAAGAAATCCTGCAGCAATTGGGATTTGAAACCAATTTTCCCAAGTCTGTGAAAAATCTCGATGGCTTCCCTCAATCGGAGGCACATTTCAGCGAGAATGAGACGAATGTGATGGCAGATTCTTGCTTCTAAGCATCTCAACCACATTGTGTATAGCGCCGGAAATAGAAAAAGCAGCATGATCGATGCAGAATACCCTCCACATGATTATCTCTGTGAATGTGGGAAAACAACAATCCCACCCTGCAATGAATGAAATGCTGAATATGACAGCTATAAAGAAAGCAGGAAATATCCAAGCTGGAGATAGACACAGCCAAAGATCAGAATGGAATCGGTCCCAAGGTCGAGAACTGACTGATCGGGAAAAGATGCGAACATGAAGCATATGACCAAGCCGTATGTAATAGCTCCAGTGGAAATTAATACCAAATCGCTGTTGGCTGAAATATTCTAGAGGGGTCTGATACAATTGACCAGGTAACATGCAGTGGGTCTGACAACAGCTGTCATCAGTGAGTTCTTTCTGATTTTCCAAGAGCAGGTCCAATTACATGCCGCTGTGAAAAGTCTCGGACGCTTTGTACTGTTTGAGAATCTTTGATAGAAAAGTATCGATGTCGGGAAATATGAGGTTTGTAACAGGCGGCAGATGCAGCAAACATAACAAGTGCAAATGAAGACGCTGTCAATTCCAACGTTGTCAGGGGAAGATGTACGCAGACTCTTTGGATTATGCCTGCAAAGAACCAACGGGTTTGGACAAGTGATTTGTACTTCAACAGATAATGCAGCTGTTGGGCGTCGATGGGAAAGCCCTGAGGAAAATCCGGGGTTTTAAATGTATCCCCCCAGCATTGACGAAGAAAGCATGCACCTGTGTCCATTTCGTCTTGCTGTTTAGCGGTGGATCGGTTTGAAATTGCTAATTTCAGGATCAATGGGAGCGAAGAGAGTTGATAGAAGACATTTTATTTTCCCTCGGAGCTATGAAAGTTCACATACCTTGACACTTTTTCTTGCTTTTGGCCACTGGCCGAAGGTAATTCCAAATATCAAGTCGGGGCCGAGGAGGGCGATGCAAAACATATTGAATTTGTCGAGCAGTTGATGATACCATCTGTCACTTTTTGAGCCAACATTAGGGTAAACCGAGACCCAACAACAAAGTATCATCGTCGTACCACAAGATAAATAATTCTCATAGTACCTCTGCTATCGGCTGACTCAACTCAGCCATAGGCTGGAATATCCGTCAAATTGCCCATTGAGGGTGAACCGGACGTACCTGCATATAGTCGCAACCTGGGGAAGAGGGCCAGCCAAATGGTTCGAATTTAGGGAATAACCATCAGATCTTGCGTACCCAGTGCAGTTATAAAGCACCACATCATGCATTGAGACAAGTTCGTCCATGAAACAATATCATCCATGAGACAACATCATTTATGAAAGAACATCGTCTATGAAACAACATCGTCTATGAAACAACATCGTCTATGAAACAACATCGTCTATGAAACAATATCATCTATGAGACAATATCATGTATGAGACAAGATCGTTCAGGAAACAGGAAAGTAGAGTCCAAGCAGGAAGTGGAAAAGCATGGAATATGATGATATCAACACTCTTTCGTGGGATATCTGCCCGTATTACAGGAACAATGAGGCGCATCAGTGTGCGCTCTAGCACTTTCGTCTCATGTCAAGTTGGTTGACAATGCTTCCAGATCACTCGACGGTGCGTGTTAATCCCTGCCGTAGCTAGCCACATGGGGGACACTTCTGAATAAAGAAAACTCTCACGTGCAAGCCCAGTAAAGGAATATGAAAATGGCATTATGTGATTATAAGCGATGTTTGTTGATCCAAAATTGTAGAGTCTTATAGACGAAAGGTCACATAGAGGGAAGAGAGTTGTATTGTGTAAGAGACGAACTCCCAGAATTATATGTTCGCTACATGGGTATCCTGGGCTGTGACCCGATCTGCCAAGCAACCACAAACTGATCTCAACACAAATCCAGGGTGACGATATCCAAAAACCGAACTTGTGATGCATGCATTGAGGGAGCAGCTGCAATTAACCTTCTTCACCCACTAGAACGTGGGTAACTAAGCAAACAACAAATATCAACTTATTTTTGAAACCAAGGACTGCGATATAGAGATCTCTACTTCGTAGTGTTGACCATTATATGTCTGGGTAAACGCTTTTTCAGTTCAACCCGCGTTTCAGACACCCTAAATGGAACATATGCAAAGGCCAGAGCCTCCGATCGCAACACTCGAAAAATGGTGATCTCGGAGAATTTTCTTATGATGGCCACCAGTCAGGGGCCGCGGAAGGCTAAGGGACTCCGCAGGTGGCAAGGGTAGCGGAGAAAGCGTCGAACTAAAATCCAACTAAAGAGCCGATAAGAAGCCTGACAAGGCTATAAGAAGGCTAAATGGGGGTCTGGAAGGACTAACTAGCGTCCCCGGTCTCAGCTACGCCACAAGAGATCTTTGCACCGACTCATCTAATAAAGGCAAATTATGTACGATGTACGGAGTACGGAGTACAGCATATGTATGTAAATCCTTCCCACATTGTACAAATGGTGCAATATACAACCCTTTTTCAGGGTAAACCTTAGTTTTTCTCTGAAACAACCCTATTCATTTTAGAGAGAAGTGGAAACGATCGTCTCTAATCCATCAACCTCGGCATCTAAGTAAACCAAGTCATTAAAATTAGGCCGCATAAGGGCTATTCTTGTCCCAAAACCTAAAAAAAAAAAAATTTACCTAGGATACAACATATAGTATCTGTAAAATAAAGCGGACACGGAATTTTCACCCAATTCTTCCATGATATTCAGATCCAAAAAAAAGTCGCCCCCCAAAACGCACAGCCATCACAGTGTCCAAGGGGCAGCCACCAGCGGTAGCCCCTCGGATTGGATCTGAGCGAGTCCACTTCGGAACAAGCGCAAACTAGTGGGGTTGCCAGCAAGTGGTTCATCGTCTATTAGAAAGACGATTCTGTTTATTTGTTGGTACAATTACCGATGGGGATTTTTTTCCTCCACTGGACCCGAGATTCGGTGAACCGTACTACTTTGTACGGAGTAGACCGAAATGATGTGCACTTTCCTAAATATACCCGCGTATGTCGTATTTTCTATTCTACTAAAGCGGACAAGTGCGATCGGCATTGGGGCATCGGCGTTAGGGGGTGAGTTTAATTTTTGAATTAATTTGGTCCTTTTTTTTTATGAAGGCGCAATATTTGGGCATTTGTCTGTTTTTGTATCTTAGCTCCGAGATCATTCCGTAGCCTCGGCCGGCTTCCGGTGTTCCCTTAGGGGCTACTAGAGAGAGAGAGAGTTAATTGACTCGTGATTTTATATGGATTGAGAGTGTATATAGATGCAATATGAATAGACCCATCCATCCATCCGATCTAATAAAACCCGGACAGATCTAATAAAACCCTCGATGATGAAATCCGTAGCACAAGTTGCCCGTGAGTAAATGCGGTGTTTTGCACAGAAGTCAGCACCCAAATCCCAATGTGTAGAATCACCGTATTAATGCTGGTGACCAAAAGAAAAAGCCGCTGGACAAAGAACCAAGGAAAGAAACAAAAAAACAAGACCGCTAGATGTGAAAAACTAAACCAAACCCAAAATATGGCTCTGATGGATGCCATGTCGCCCACCTAATGTGAAAAAAAAACAGAGAGTCAGAATCGAAAGAAGAACAGTTCTCGAGGGACTTGGAACATCTTCAGCCGCGCGCACTCCGCGGCCGTGAGTTCTGCGAAGATGAGTCGTGCATGATATCCGGCGCCCGGGGACCAACCATCCAGTCCTCCATCGCAAGCCATTCACTCCAGCTGCGCTCGGCAGCCTCGATCTCGGCATCGAGGGCCCCCTGCAACGGACGCAAGAACGGGATGGTCTCCAGCGGAGGGATGTCGTAGTCCTTTTTCACAGAGGCCCAGCCGCCACTCTTTGCGGCGAAGAGGTAGTTGCGACGCTCTTGCTCGTGTATGGGCCCTACACCGCTTCCCCAGTCGTCGCCGAAGAAGCCGTGCAGCACACCTGGGAAGTCCATTCCTGTTGCGACTAGGCGACGGATGTAGGGGATCAATGAGATGGAGGGTGGGCCTGGGGGTTGTGTGCCGGGTGGTGGGATGTGGTTGGCAGAGGAAGATGAGGATGGTGAAGTTGAGTTGACGATTGGGTTCGGTTGGCGCTGGAAGGGGAGTCGGATGTTTAAGAATGTGGAGAGGGCCTGGACGGGCACGCTGTGCTGGGCATGATCTAGGAAATAACTTTGACAGCTTTGATAGTGGGGGTACC